CCAGCTCTCTCATGAACTGAGCAAGAACTCACTTATTACTGAGCCAGTAGTGCTAAACCATTCACGAGGGATGGATCTGCACCCATGATCCAATCACCTCCCATCAGTCCCCATGTCCAACATTGGGAATCACATTTCAGCGTGAGATTTGGAGGGGACAAACATATAAACCATACCAATGTTCACAGCAGCAAATAATAGCAAAATTGTAGAAACAACCTACTCTTTAGTGGTAGAGTAGATGAATAAATACAATAGGATATTGTATTTATTAATGGTCAAATCAGATAACTATAGCAAACACAATATGGATGAATCTCAGTAAAATAACTACTAGAATATTACATAAAGCATGATACCTAGTTTTTAAAGCAAAGACCAGTGTAACATATATATGAGTTATTCTTATATATGAAATATACATATGTAGAGAGAGGGGATACACACACATATGTACCTATATAAATGGTATAAAAGAGGTAGGAAGGAAAGGATAAACAGCATTCAGGATGACAGCTACATTGGGTGAGAAGCAGATTTTCTCCTTGACATGTACTGATGGGATGGGGAATGCAGATCCTTGTATGAATTAGATGGAGCTGTTGTCAAGGTCTTGGCCTTTTGTCTGAGTGATGGGTTTGTCCGTATTACCTTATTAAAAATAGTAATTAAATAAAAGGTTATTCATGGACTACTGAAGACAAGTGTCATGAACCAAGGATGATTGCTACATTTCTATGTAACTGAGTTCTAACTAAAGAAAAATCTTGTATGTATGTAGATACATAAATAATATTATAAAATCTTAATAGATTTGACCACCACAAAGGTGTACTCATGATTGTTGATTTTTGGCTAACTTTAGAAAGATGTTTTTTTTTTAATTTTTATATACTATTTTATGTGGATATTGCCTAAAAATGCATATAACTTGGTCAATTGGAAAATGCATAGGACTTTTCTGAATAATTAATTTTTTACCAATTATAAATGCTGTTTCTGAAAAATTTTAAAAGCACATTAGTTTACTTCTCTGCTGTACTAAGAAAATAATACTGACACATATGAGTGATACATGATTGAATTTCTTAAAATACTTCAATATACTTGTATTTTAGAAAGCACAAGAGATTTGACTTACTCAGGCCAGTCTTAGAACGTAATCTTGGAATTTGCCTTTTCCTCTAAATCCTTAATGTGAAACTGTCTTCTTCAGACTTCTTTCTTCTGAAATTTGTTTCCCTTTGTCCCCACCCCATTCTGTTTAGGGATAGAGACAAAAGGAAATTTTATTGGTTGAAGTTTTGCTATAATGTTGGTATGACTTTTCAGTTTCAGATTACTCTGGTTTTGGCTCCAAGCACTCACGTTATTTAAAAGTGCTAACCTGTGCACTTACTTAAATACCTACTTTGTTATAGGTACTTTGCTAAGTACATATTCATTAATCAAATTATTGTAATAATAAAGACATACAATTACAAACTGAAGTGTGTATTTTGAAGCTCAGGAAAACGGATCTGTGAGTGCAAAAAGGCACCTCACCTGGACTTAGGAAGTGACTTTCAAGCTGAGATCTAATCAGGGCTTGGGTCATAGTACAGGATTCAGGTCAGTGAAAACAGCTTATACAAAGGAGCTGTAGCAGGAGGAGGTACAGCATGACTAACATTGAAAAAAGTAGTATGACTCAGTGTTGTGACACAAAGCTAAGACCAAACAATAGAGATGGCAAGGGCCTGATTTATTCAGGACCTAAGAGCAATGGGAAACCTCTGAGAATCCTAAATTGGGAGGCTACTGGAGATCATATTTGTATTTGAAGAGACTGTTTATTTAATGTCTGTCTTTCTGGCTAAACTGTAAGCTCCACAAGTAAAGGCACCTGCTTTTGATCTCACCAAGTACAATACAAGTAGGTACTCAATAAATGTTCTATCACCATATAATGGCTCAGTGTCTGGTAGACAGTAAGTGCTTAGTAATATTACAGTTTTCATTGTTCTAGACTGGCCTTTAGTGTAAGACAGTGGCTGCTAAGGATTTAGAAGTTTCATAAAATAATTTCTTCCAAGAATATCGATTGAAGACCCATGATATACTCAGAAATGATAGCCAAATTTATTTATTAGAATGTTATCACTTCTTTTGTGCCCCATTTAGGATGTACAGAACACAGAAATGATTGAGAATTGTTACTAAATCAAACCAGCCTACAGTGAGGTGCGATAGCAGATGCACCTGCCCTACACTATTCAGTTTACATGATCACTTTGATGCCTATAAAGATAGCTTTTATAAAACTATGAAAGCCTACACACACACACACACACACACACACACACACACACACACAGACACACACACACACACACACACAGACACACACACACTATTTCTTCTAGAGTTCTCGGTATAATTACCTTTCCAAAGTTCATTTGAAATAATCTGAATTATTCTTTAGTTATATTCATTTATTTTACATAAATTAGGATACCTTGCCATGTTTCTTCCCAAAGACTCATGATTGCTATTAAGAATACTTCTTCTGGATGGGTGCAGTGGTTCACGCCTGTAATCTCAGCACTTTGGGAGGCTGAGGCAGGTGGATCACGAGGTGAGGAGTTCGAGACCACCCTGGCCAATGTGGTGAAACCCTGTCTCTACTAAAGATACAAAAAATTAGCAGGGGTGTGGTGGGGCCGTGCCTTTAATCTCAGCTACTCGGGAGGCTGAGGCAAGAGAATTACTTGAACCTGGGAGGCAGAGGTTGCAGTGAGCCGAAGTCGCACCACTGCACTCCAGCCCTCAAAAAAAAAGAAAAAAGAATATATATTTTCATTCTGAAAAATTATAATTATTTTCAGTATTATAGCTCTAATACTTTGCTTTTTTCATGCATTAATTTATACATGATATGTGCTCTCTTAAAATATATAGTTATATTACCAACTTTCTGGCCAATTTCCTCCTCCTCTTTATTGGGAAGTAGTAACCAGGCCCATGAACTAGCACATACCAGCATCTGTGTACATTAATACAAGGTGCCCCATCTGGCTGGACAAATTATCAAAAGGCTCTCCTGTATCTGACACATCCTATGTCATGACACACTACTTGAAGCAGAGCATCAGCTCCTATCTGGGCCTTCTGCTGGGGCCCTTTAAGCCATGCAAAAATGACACAGCTATATAGTTAGTGGCCCTAAGTAGTAACTAATTATAAATTAGATACTGCTCATAATCAACCAGATGATAGATAAACCTTTATAGGCAAACAACGTATTTTAAAAAGTAGCATAATTGTTCATTTATGTAAATATCTAATGCAACCTTAAGTTAAAACATTAATATTATAGGCCGGGTACAGTGGCTTATGCCTGTAATCCCAGAACTTTGGGAGGCCAAGGCAGGCAGATCACTTGAGGTCAGGAGTTTGAGACCAGCCTGGCCAACATGGCGAAACCCCATCTCTATTAAAAATATAAAAATTAGCCAGGCATGGCGATCCATGTCTGTGATCCCAGCTACTTGGAAGTTGAGACAGGAAAATCGCTTGAACCCAGGAGGTGGAGGTTGCCATGAGCTAAGAACTTGCCACTGCACTCCAGCCTGGGTGGCAGGGCAAGAGTCTGTTTCAAAATTAAATAAAAATTAATATTATATTTAATTTTAAAGTCTTTAAAACTTGGTTTGGTAAAATTGAGTGTAGGGGTGTAAGTTGTAGTTTTTGGGAAAATATTTTATTTTACCAAATAAAGCTACATTTAAAAATTATTTCTTAATGTGCCCAGCTTTGGGTACCTAGAAACACAGACAGACACACACACAGAGTTAATTTTTCATGAGAGAAATTAACATTTACAAAAGTAAAGCGGTGAGACCCCACGTATGTTTTATTAGCTTCAACAATAGTCAATTCATTGTTTTGTCTGCTTCCCTCCCATTTCCCCTACACCACATTATTTTGAAGTAAATCTCAACATTATCTTTTTAATCTGTAAACATTTCAGTAGCTACTCTAGAAAATACTTTTTATATTCTAAATAACATAAACATAGCATCATTATCACATCTTAATTAAAATAATTAACAACATTATCTACCGCCTAATCAGCATGTAGACTTTCCTGATTATTTCATAAATGGTTTTTAAAGTTGGTTTGAATAAGAATCAAAATAAGTCTATATAGTATAATTGGTCAAATTGTCTCTTGAGTTACTTTTAACATATAGTTTATCCTTTCCCTTTTTTTCTTGCATTTTGTTTGTTGAAGAAATGGTCATTTTTCACTTTCTGGATTTTGCTGAATATATCTCTGTAGTATCATTTTACATGTCCAGGAAAAAATATATATGATATATACATGTTTCACAGAAATGAGGTCTTGCTATGTTGCCCAGGCTGGTAAAATACTGACTTTAGAGGATATGTTTCACTGAACTGCCAACATGATGCCTATGCTTTTCAAAATCTGTTCCAGAAAATCATGTTGAAGATCAGTTATTTTCTTTTCTTGGCACTTTCATGTATGTTCTGTTTTAGTTTGTTTTACTGTCAATTCCCCGAAACATTGCCCTGACCTCAAGTGATCCTCCCACCTCGGCCTTCCAAAGTGCTGGGATTAAAGGGATGAGCCACCATGTCTGGCCCAAATATATTTTCTACTTATCTTTAAATATGTGATACCTCATCTTCTTTGCCTGTAAACAAATTTTGTTTAAATGGAAAAATTAATGCTTAACTTAGTTGTTCAGAGGGAAAGATTTCAAAAATTAGTAAACATGAAAGGGAGGATCTGAAGGAATGGCCATGAGCCTCAAGAAGTAGAATAATTTTGTAATGCTCCATGTTTATAGCTCTATGATTATTTTGATAATATAAGTCATCTTAAAGTATTATAAAACATTGAAATATAAAATTGTAGCCAGAGTAGAAATGCCCGGTTGATTTTGGTCAAAGTAACATATTTTGTTAATTTTTTTTTATTAACCAAAAAGATACCAGGTGATCAGCACTCCAACAGATTTTTTTATGGTAATGGAATATGTGTCTGGAGGCGAATTATTTGACTACATCTGTAAGCATGGACGGGTGAGTAACATACTATCTGGTACACTAAACCTCTAAACTAATAAGGAGGAAAGTATTGGGAAATAGCACACTGCAAAGATATCGTCAAGGTTAAAGTTGTTTCTATAATAATGCTCAACTAAACATATACGGTGTTAGACAAAATTTCTTGTATACCTTTTGAAATACTGATTTTAGAAAACATGTTCCACTTAATTGCCAACATGATGCTGATGCATTTCAAAATCTGTTTCATAAAATCATGTTGAGGATCAGTTATTTCCTTTTCTTGGCACTTTCACGTATGTTCTGTTTTAGTTTGTTTTACTGTCAATTCCCCAAAACATTGTGCACATTTAATGATATTAATTGAAATTTAAATATTACTGCTTAGCAATAAACAAAAACTCGTCTGTTGACATGTTGAGCTTTGACAAGCTTTTGGTTGGATGTTTTGTCTGATTTGTTGAGAATTCCAGCATAATTCTAGCTGGCTTAATTTTATTTAGCTTGATTATGAAATTAAAACTCTTGTTAAATAGATGTCCCAAATATTATTATTATTGTTATTATTATTATTATTTTGAGACAGAGCCTGACTCTGTTGCCCAGGCTGGAGTGCAGTGGTGTGATCTAGGCTCACTGCAGCCTCCACCTCCCAGGTGCAAGCAGTTCTGTCTCAGCCTCTCCAGTAGCTGGGACCATAGGCACGTGCCACCATGCCCAGCTGAATTTTATATTTTTAGTAGTGATGGGGTTTCACCACATTGGTCAGACTGGTCTCAAATTCCTGACCTCAGGTGATTCACCTGCCTCAGCCTCCCAGAATGTTGGGATTACAGGCATGAGCCACCTCTCCCAGCCCCAGATATTTTAATGCAGTTTCTTTTATGCTTGATAGGTTGAAGAGATGGAAGCCAGGCGGCTCTTTCAGCAGATTCTGTCTGCTGTGGATTACTGTCATAGGCATATGGTTGTTCACCGAGACCTGAAACCAGAGAATGTCCTGTTGGATGCACATATGAATGCCAAGATAGCTGATTTTGGTATGTAACTCCAAGGTTGTTTAGGAATGTACTAGCTACCTTTTAAAGCATGTCAATAACAACTTATAGAACTAAGAACTTTCCATTTCAAACTTGTGCATCCTGTACCATGTAAAGGGATTAGTTGAAATTTCCTTTGTAGCTTTTTCTATTCATTTAAATACACTTTAAAAATGTGGATACCTCTAGAGAAGTTAGAAGGCTGTCATCAAGATAAATTCATTCAATCTACATTTTCTCCTAGGAAAATGATGCATAACTGTTTTGTTTTGTTTTGTTTTTGAAGAGAAGGGAGGAGTCCCAAACTTCTTTGGAAAATCTCATGAAATTATGAGCACTTTCTCTGATGAATGCATATAAACAGAGGTATCTGAAAGTTTGCATGTAGTTTTGGAAAAAAGCCCTTCTGAATTGATCCACAAAGAGTCCTTAGGGTAACATAACTTAATTAGAGCATAGTTTTTGTCAGGGGTAAAAGGTACATAAAATGTAATTTTTATACTTCAAACACTTTTTGGGTTAAACATACCTGGAAAGGATGCCTTAATAGGGTATTTGAGAAAAAGATTAGGAAGTGAGAGATTAGAAAGATATTCAGGTGCTGGCTAGTGCTACCTATTGTGGTCTTTACCTTGTCTTTAATCTAAAATCTAGGAAACTACTTCTCTAGTTTCTCTTCCTTCTCTGAATCATGAAATTCATTTAGTGTTATCGCTCAACTAGATTTTTGGTTCAATAGATTATATTTTCTATGTTGAATTAAATATTTCTAAATTAAAAACTTTTGGAACATAATCTCTTTATGAGTTGGAGGCCATCTGGCTTCTAATTATAGAATTTAAAGAGGCTTTTGAAAGCGTAGAACAAAAAAGTAGTAGTTTCTGTTTTATTCTTTCAACTATGGAAATAGATAAATAATATTTTGATGTTTTCATGTTTGGGAAAGTTAATGTGCTTCAGAATAACCTCTTCTGTGAAGGGAATCAACATTTTTATTTGGAAAGGAAATTTAGTTTTACTCATACGTGAGATGTTCTTTAGCTTTTTTGTTATAGTATAAGCACTCTGAGATAATCTGCTTCAGTCAAATGCTTTCCACTGCCTTTTTTAAAAAAATAAAACAACTAATAAACGATGTGTGGAGGGTTAAGGACTGGAAATTTTGCTCCTGTTTATATGACTTTCTTTACTTTTAAAAAAATCTAGCACCAGGTAAACATTACTTTTATTTTTAGGATTATCTAATATGATGTCAGATGGTGAATTTCTAAGAACTAGTTGTGGATCTCCAAATTATGCGGCACCTGAAGTCATCTCAGGCAGGTAATAATCAGTGAAGTGTAAACTTTTTGTAATCTTGTGTGCATTCTGATAACATTTCATTATAATGTATTCTCTTTGGAAGGTAAGATTTTAAAATGGCAGAACTGAATTGTTCATTTATTTTTCAATCGTTGAAGGGATAATGGTTATATTAAAAATTTTAAACATTTCATTTAGATATCATTATAAATATACCTATGAAGTTTTCCCCATTGAAAAATAGCTGAAGTACATCCTGATTTAACATCTCTTTTATTTTAGAAAAGTACAGATAAGAAAGTAAGAATTTGCAAAATATAAGCTAGTGTCATTATTTATTTATTAGATACAGTTCTTTAACTTGCATATTTTTCAAAATGTATACAGCATTGTTTTATATTTTGTCTTTGGAAGAACGAGACTTTGGGGGACAATATTGTTTCATGAAATTAAACTACACAAGTAGAGATTGTGTAATTACTCATATAACTTATTCATTGGTACATTATAAAAATGTTTATACAGATTGCAATGGTAATCTCAAGTCTTTTTACAGTGATCAATGTGTGATTTTTAAAAGTTAACAGAATCCTATGAGAGAAAATTGGTAAAAGTATTATTGCAAATAGCAGATCCAGTATTATCTTAGTCCATTTGGCCTGCTGTAAGAAAAATACGATAACGTTGATGGCTTATAAACAACAGAAGTTTATTTGTCACAGTTCTGAAAGCTGTGAAGTCCAAGATCAAGGTGCCATCAGATTTGGTATCTGGGTGAGGGTCTGCTTCCTGATAGACTACTGTATGCTCACTGTAACTTCACATGGTGAAAGGGAGAGGGGATCTCTCTGGGGTTGCTCTTACAAGGGCACCAGTAGAACTCTGCGCTAGTGACCTAATCACACCCCTAAAGTTCCCACCTCCTAATACTATCCCCTTGGGTGTTAGGATTTCAACACTTGAATTTTGGGAGGCTGTAAGCATTCAGTCCATTGCAAAGAGTTTGAACAATACAGCAAATGATGTAAACAATTGCCATTTTTATGTAAACATTATATCCTTTTTATTGGAATAGTAGAGATTTACTTTGTTACCCCAGACCCAGGTTTGAGTTTGATAATATGCTGTCATGAGAACTGTAATGCTGTAGAAAGGTAAGAGGGAAAAAAAGGAATAACACTATAAGCATAAGTTATCTGGATCAAAGCTAATTTTAGTCATATGAGCTAGGAAGTGATGAGAGTGCAAGTGGTAAATACGCAGGATAATGTGATACAGGATAAATACTGTCTACACAGTACTAATTAAGTACTTTAATGTTTAATTTTTTTTTTTTTTTTTTTTTTTTGAGGCAGAACATCTTTGTCACCCAGGCTAGAGTGCAGTGGACAATCTTATCTCACTGTACCGCCTCCCAGGCTCAGGTGATCCTCCCACCTCAGCCTCCTGAGTAGCTGGAACTACAAGTGTTCACCACCATCCCTGGCTACATTTTATATTTTAAGTAAAAACAGGGTTTCACCATGTTGCCCAGGCTGGCCTCAAACTCCTAGCCTCAAGCAATCCACCCACCTCAGCCTCCCAAAGTGCTAGAATTACAGCTGTGGGCTACAGTGACTGGCCTTAAATATTCTTTAAAGCTGTACCAGGGCTAAAAATTCTATTATATGTATATTTTCTTGTAATAGTTCTTTAAGAAAAAAATTTAACCTATACACTATAGTATTTTTTCAAGTTTATGGTCATCTACTTTTGTTTCCCTCAAAAATCAACCACAGAAAGTATTATATTTTTTAATTAGTATGTTTCAGTTAAATGAATTTGTGACAAATAAAAATACCCTATTCACTTGGCAGACTTGAATAGTAATTGGCTAGACTAATTATTCCCTTTGAGGAGCAACGATTGAATATTGGGGAGTGGCCATGGACTTCAATAAAGACCTTGGAAATGAATATGTACTGAAGGTAGACTACCTATATATACAAGTAGGATACATATAGAGAGAAATAGTGATACTTGCATTTTAGGTTTGTGTTGTCATCTTTTTTCTTAGATTGTATGCGGGTCCTGAAGTTGATATCTGGAGCTGTGGTGTTATCTTGTATGCCCTCCTTTGTGGCACCCTCCCATTTGATGATGAGCATGTACCTACGTTATTTAAGAAGATCCGAGGTGGTGTCTTTTATATCCCAGAATATCTCAATCGTTCTGTCGCCACTCTCCTGATGCATATGCTTCAGGTTGACCCACTGAAACGCGCAACTATCAAAGACATAAGGTGATTATTCTTTTTGTTTCTTTTACGTATATTTTCTCATAGGAATAATAATGATGTTAATTGAATGATTCTCCTAACGTCTCATTTCCTGCCCTCGCCACCTCACCCCTAGCCAACGAAGAGAAGGGGAAATACCAGTGCTTCAGCCACATTGAACTTGTCCTTGTTTCTTAAACCTAACATAGATTTTATGTCTTCATATCTTTGTTTATATTATTCTCTTTGCCTTGATGCCTTTTCTGTTTTCTTTTTTGACCTGATAGACTTCCATTCATTCATTAACGTTGCACAAGTGCTTTCATTTCTATTTTATCAACATTTTGTTCATGCTTTTCTTATTTAATTCTCATCCTGTAACTAGTTGTTTCTCAGTGTGTCTTTTTTTCTCTCTTAAATTATGATATTAGGTTAAAGAGTGTATCTTATTCATCTTTGCCTATGCAATGCTAAAAGACCTGGAAATATGGTATGTTTAGAAAATGCCTGAAAAAATTTCAAATGGATAAATAGAGTGAGATTTATGTATTTTACATATGGTTAAAAACATAAAGCATAAAAAGTTTTGCTAAGTTTTTGAATTCAATAGCTGCTAGTGGGCTTACTGCGAAGGCTCTTGTGTCACGTGAGAAACTTTGGAAAGTGCCATTGCTAATGCACCTATGAATATGACCTTTGTATATCACATACCTTTGTATAGTAGCAAGATGATTCATTGCATTCTGCTTATTACTTATCAAGGCATGTTTCTTAGAGGTTTTTTGTTCTTAGCTAAGATTTCATCCATGTTTGTTTACAAACACATTCTTTTGACATCTTTCCAGAACTCTTCCTCTTTTCATTAGCCAGCAATGACTTTTTTTTTTTTTTTTTTTTTGAGGCAGGGTCTCACTCTGTCACCCAGGCTGGAGTGCACTGGTGTGATCACAGCTCACTGTAACCTTAACTTTCCAGGCTGAGATGATCTTCCCATTTCAGCCTCCTGAGTAGCTGAGACTATAGGTGAAAGCCACCACACCCAGCTAATTATTTTTTGTATTTTTAGTAGAAATGGGGTTTTGCCATGTTTCCCAGACTGGTCTTGAACTCCTGGGCTCAAGCGATCCACCCATCTTGCCCTCCCAAAGTGCTGGAATTACAGGTGTGAGTCACTGCACCCAGTCCCAGAAAAGACTCTTTTGAGACCTCTGACCTTTGGAATTTCTTTCTTTCTTTTTTTTTTTTTTTTTTTTTTTTTTGAGACGGAGTCTTGCACTGTTGCCTGGGCTGGAGTGCAATGGCATAGTCTTGGCTCACTGCAGCCTCCACCTCCTGGGTTCAAGCAATTCTTCTGCCTCAATCTCCCGAGTAGCTGGGATTATAGGCACCTACCACCACACCCAGCTAATTTTTTTGTATTTTTAGTAGACACAGGGTTTCACTGTGTTGGCCAGGCTGGTATAAAACTCCTGACCTTGTGATCTGCCCGCCTTAGCCTCCCAAAGTGCTGGGATTACAGGCATGAACCAAAGTGCCCAGCCAACCTTTGGAATATTTAAATGATGGCTGCGGTAGCTGTTTATGTGACTGCTGCTGATTTCTTGCAAGCAAGGACTGATGATTCCTTTTGCATTTATGTATCACTTTCTTTTTCCAGCCTTTCTTCAGTGTTCCAAACCTCATGCACAAAAATATAAAAGTGTAAATTAGCCATCAGATTTAATTATAAAAATGAACTTAGGAGGAAATAAAGCCCTTTGTGTTTATAGTTCTTTAGCATATATAGTTCTCTGAATTGACTATTTTTTAAGAAAATTAGACATGCTGATGTATTTGCAGCTGCTTGTATCAGCATATACATTTAGAATAGTAATAGGTTCGGTGCAGTGGCTCACCGCTGTAATCCCAACACTTTGCAAGGCTGAGATGGGAAGATCACTTGAGCCCAGGAGCTCAAGACAAGCCTGGTCAACATAGTGAGAGCCCATCTATATTAAATTTTTTTTTTTTGCCAGCTTGGTGGCTTACGCCTGTAATCCCAGCACTTTGGGAGGTCGAAGTGGGTGAATCATGGGGTCAAGAGATCGAGACTCTCCTGGTTAACACAGTGAAACCCCTTCTCTACCAAAAGGACAAAAAGTTAGCCAGGTATGGTGGCACAGGACTGTAGTCCAGCTACTCAGGAGGCTGAGGCAGTAGAATTGCTTGAACCCTGGAGACAGAGGTTGCAGTGAGCTGAGATTGTGCCACTGCATTCCAGCTTGGGTGACAGAGAGAGACTCTGTCTCAAAAAAACAAACAAAAAGTTATTTAAAATGTCAGGTGGTAATAACACTTATTTGTTACTTTAAAGCAGTGTTTGTATACTTATAGACTAAGAAAAATGTCATATGTTTACTGGTAAGAGTTAATTTGTACATAGGTAGACGGCATGAAACTATCATTCATCTCTGTACTTTAATATAACTTGAATCTATAGTTTTCATTTTTTTCTACTTATCTATATTCAGTTTTTTAGTGTTTTCGGATTCTTTTTATTTTTTTAAATTTTTTTTTTTAAGAGCTGGGGTCTTGAACTCCCAGCCTCAAGCAATTTCCCCATCTCGGCCTCCCAAAGTGCTAGGATTACAGACATGAGCCACCACACCTGGCCAATGTTGGGGAATTTTTGATTTGATAAAATAGAGTTCAATAGAGAAAATAGTTACTAATTATTGAAAAATTACAAAATAGCAAGCATTTTGCTGTATGGCTTGACTATGTTATTGCATTGACTTTTCATAGGTAGCTATAAACCATTTTACAAACCATGAAACTGAAGCTCAGAAGGGTTATGTCATGATTTATGTATCTGTTTGCCCCTATTAAATTATAAATTACTTTAAATTAGGAACAAATTATTAATTCATAGCAAAATGCACAAAATCTAGCACATATTAAAACGTTGAGTAAATCTGTGTTTGTTGAAAATTACACAGCTAATTAGGAGTATAACTGGGGCTCAACTTGGAACTTAAACTGAATTCAAAACCTGTGCTATTTCCACTATTTCAGATTGTTACATCAATTCAATGACATCTATCCTTCTGTTAATCTATCATTTTATTTATATCTTATGCTACTATATACTTACTATCTTAATATTATTTTGTACATCTATTATTTTCTTGTAAGATAGCCATTGGAGGTTGAAAAATATATCTCTGTATTTATTTGCTTATTTAACCATTTTTGCTTTAATTCATTCAAGCAATATTTCACATCCGCTCTGTGCAAGGTCTTGTGCTAGGTGCTGGGAATATAGTGGTAAACAAGACAGATATTGTCTTCACAGAAAATACATCTTTGTGTCCCCAGGCACCTTAACTTAGTAATAGTATTAATGTTATTATAATTAAAGTGAGAGGTCTGAAGTTCAACTGAGCACAAATCCCAGTGCTTCTGTTTATTAGCTATGAGCACTTTAGTTACTTCCCACATACATTAGAATTTGGGGGAGGTAGTCATAGATTGAACCATGTGAAATTGCCATTTAAGTAGGTCTAAAAATGAATATCAGAAAGTGCAAATATTCAACTTAATATAATTGAACCTTTAGAACAATGTCTAGAACATAATGTTAGCTATTAACATTTTAGCTGTACTTAAAAGAAATTTGGGCATATCATAGGGTTTCTAAAATTTGATAGTCTTTATAATCTAACCTTAAGTCATATATCAATTTCACATTTCAGGTAGTAGTGATAGAAATACATAATTTCTGATGCCTGTATAATAACCCATGTGAAGTGAACTGCTTTTGTCTCAGATGAACTTCTATAAACATCCTAGTCACTGATCACTTTGTAGAGTTAGTTCAGAAACTGACTCCTGAAAATTAAAAGCTTTTAAAATTGGCAGTTGTTACAAGAAATTATGGTCATTTGACTAAATTAATGAATTAGAAATCAAAATTTAGATGTTTCCTTATTGTTTTTTAAAATTAATTTAAAAAATATAATTCACATATTATAAATTTATCCCTTTAGAGTGTATAATTCACTGGCTTTTAGTATATTCACAAAGTTTCACAATCATTACAGCCATGTAATTCCAGAACTTTTTTTATCATCCCTGAAAGAAACTATACACAGTAATAGTCATCCCTTCCCCATTTCCCTTTCCTCCCTAGCAAGCACTAATCTACTTTCTGTCTTTGTGCCTGTTCTGGACATTTCATATAAATGGAATCATACTGCATGTGGTCTTTTGTATCTGGCTTCTGTCATTTAGCAAAATGTTTTTAAAGTACTTTCCTACTGTAGCATGTATTAGTACTTCATTTTTTTTTTTTTTGCTTGAAAAATATTCCGCTGTATGAATATACTACATTTTGTTCATTAGTTGATGAAGATTGAGTTTTTTCCAATTTGTGGCTTTTATGACTACTGTTGCCCTGAACATTTACACACAAAATTTGTATGGTTATGCTTTTATTTCTCTTGGGTATATACCTAGAGTTTATAATTGTCATATGTTGTTGCTGCTGCTCCTATTTGTTTGGTGATTTCCTGATCTGATTCTGCAAAATCTGTATTCTTTTTTTTATATGGCTACTGAAATCTCTCTTTGGTTAGCTTAATGATCAGCTTAGACAAAAATTTCCTTAAATAACGTGATCTAGTAAGTCTCCCATCCTTTGCTGATGGGCTCTGTGTGCATGTTGGGCTATATCCTCAGTGCTCCAACAGGCAGTTTGTAACTCTGCCTTAGCCTTCATTTCCTGCTTGTGCAGAGCCTCAAAATCTACCAGTGAAGACAAATGAGGGCCCTTTCAGTTTTTTCTCAGGCAAACACACAACGCTGCATTTGTTTCTGGCCTGAGTCCCAGAAATACATCAGAGCTTTCCAAAGACCCCTCTGGAACTTGTATTTCCTGATTTTTCCTTTTAAGTGTCTTGGTCAGCTTTTCATTTACCCAACTTTCACTGCTGCTTCAGGCATGTTAGGATGTTAGACAGTTGTCATTGATTTTTTTTTTTTTTTTTTTAACAAATGCCCTGGGAGAAGGCTGTGTGAGAGTAAGCTCTGAGTCAGGTCATGTAAAAACCAGGCTTGTGAGTGGGAGGTTTCCAGAGAACTGCTAGGTAAGTAAAATAATGACAGTTCTCTCATGGTAGGAGTTTTGGGCGGCTATATACTATTCTGCTCGTCTGTTTTCCCCACCCCAATGCCCCAGTGGTTGTTAAGCTCCTGGTTTTCGCAGCTCTGTGATTATGAGGCTGTTGGTTTTCAAGGCTGCCATGGAACTGGACAAAGGGAAGCGGACATAGGACAACTTAAAAAGCCACAAATCTCACCTTTCTTACTGAAATTCGGCCATTTTTCTTGAATAGATAGTCTTCAGATTGTTACAAGCCTTTGGTTAATTTCCAGGATTCTGAAAAAGTTGACTTTGACTGTTTTTGCTGGTATTTTGTTTTATGAAATAATAGATTTTTCGAGTTTATTTTGAAAGTGTTTAACTTCTCTATTTGTCATTGATATTTTAAAAATATTAGACAAGTAACATAATTTTTTTGTCTTTTGTTACTTCTTTTGTAGCTGGGTGTGGTGGTGCACACTTGTAATCCCATGAGGCAGGAGAATCACTTGAACCTGGGGGGGCGGAGGTTGCAGTGAGCCGAGATCACACCACTGCACTCCAGCCTGGGCAACAGAGTGAGACTCTGTCTTAAAAAACCAAAAAAATAGAAACTTTCTATCTCAGTTATTTTTATTGCTAAACGTTAATAGGTGCTTAATATTATTATATAGCAAATAAATACATGAATGAATTTTTGTGTTCATACTTTGTCTAACTCATGTATTTATTCAGCATTTATTGAGCATTTACTCTGCACTAGGTAGTGGGATAGAGCTAAATAACTTGTGGTCACTATTTCAAGAAGCTCTCAGTTTAGTGGGCAAGATTAAGAAAAAAAACAACTATAAGAATGTGTTGTGATCGAAAAATCTAGTAGATATAGAAGTTTTATCTTTGTACATATCCTCAGGGCCTGACACACCATCATTTCTCACTTGGACTATTGCAACTAGCATCATCATCATCATCATTTTTATCTTTTCAATTCAGTTTTTATACCACAAACAAAATGATCTTTACAGAATGATAATTAGGTTATGTTACCCCATCTCTTTAAAATCCTTCAATGATTTTCATCAGCCACCAGTTCAAATTGTGAGATTTCCTTTTTATAGCCTTCGATTCTTAGAAGTACCTGATTTCATTTAGCACTCCATCTCAACTCATTCTGCCTTCATGATGTTGAGCTCTTTCCAGTTCCTAGAGCACAGCACAACTCTTTTTTTGTCTTATGGTTTTTGCACATAATGTTTCTTTTGCTGGGAATATCTGTTCCCCAACTATTTGCATAGCTGACTTCTGATCATTCTAGTGTCTGCTTAAATATTACTCAGAGTGGCTTCCCTGATCACCCACTTCTCATTCTAAATTAAACACTCTCATTTTACTCTATGCAGTTTCTACTGCAATATGTATCTCAGGATTTGCATATTTGTAACTATATTTCTATGTATATTTGTTTAATCTCTATTTAGCTAAAATATAATCTTTGCGAGGAAGAGTGTTTCTTTTTGTCCATGGTATTTTCCTCAGTAAATATTTATAAATAGTCAGCGAATAGAAGACATTCAGTCAAAACATATCTTCATTTGCACTTATCTTAGGGGAAGCCCAGTTCCACCAGGTAGCAATAATCTTGAAGAAGTAGTTTGTGTTAGATGAAAAGGGTTTAATATTCTAGGATAACAGTGGTAACATCAAGTGCAAACCCCCAGAAGTGTGAGAAAATATGGCTTAGGAAAGCAGTTCTCAAACTTTTTGATTTTAGAATCCTGTAACTCTGAAATATTACTGAGGACCTCAAGGGGGATTTATTTTAATGTAGGTTATATCTATAAATATTTACTATATTACAATTAAAACTGAGAAATTAAGAAAACATTTAATTCATTTAAAAATAACTATAAACCCACTATATGTTAAATAATACATCTTTCATGAAAAATAACCATATCTTCCAAAACAAAAAAAAAATTCTGAGAAGAGACATTATTTTATATCAAAGACAGCTAGGTTCTCATACCTTCTTCATTCAATCTGTTGCATTATTTTGTATAAGTTGAAGTGTGTAAAGAAGATATGATTTCACTCAGATAAGTGGTTGGAAAAGAAAAACATATTTATTATTATTAACACCAACTTTATCAGAAAGTCTTTAAGTATTGGGAAGCTGTTAAACTCATACAAATAATACAAAATTTTAAAGTTTTGCTTGAAAGCTTGAATTTTGTCATTGGCAACAAATATTGCTGATTGTTTTCCTTAAAGTGATGGGCTTGCTTTTTTCATTTTTGAGAGAATGTCAGCCAAATCCTCAAGTCTTTATAACCATAGTTATTCAAGGGTAGTGGGTAATTAACTTGCTCAGGGTCACATAGCTAGTAAGTGGCAGAGCTAGGTCTAGAGACCAGATCTTTTGATTCTATTATGTTGTATTGCCCAATGTCTAAATTATTTGGACTTGCCAATGCATGTCTTACAATAGTGTATTGTGTTTTTCCTAGAGAGCATGAATGGTTTAAACAAGATTTGCCCAGTTACTTATTTCCTGAAGACCCTTCCTATGATGCTAATGTCATTGATGATGAGGCTGTGAAAGAAGTATGTGAAAAATTTGAGTGTACAGAATCAGAAGTAATGAACAGTTTATATAGTGGTGACCCTCAAGACCAGCTTGCAGTGGCTTATCATCTTATCATTGATAATCGGAGAATAATGAACCAAGCCAGTGAGTTCTACCTCGCCTCTAGTCCTCCATCTGGTTCTTTTATGGATGATAGTGCCATGCATATTCCTCCAGGCCTGAAACCTCATCCAGAAAGGATGCCACCTCTTATAGCAGACAGCCCCAAAGCAAGATGTCCATTGGATGCACTGAATACGACTAAGCCCAAATCTTTAGCTGTGAAAAAAGCCAAGTGGCATCTTGGAATCCGAAGTCAGAGCAAACCATATGACATTATGGCTGAAGTTTATCGAGCTATGAAGCAACTGGATTTTGAATGGAAGGTAGGAAATTATAATGTATTAGGATCATGTGTAGAAGCCATTTTTTCTATATGATAAGCTGTTCTGAACTGCCGAGTTGAGTATTAAGCACAATTTTTTCTAGTAATATACTATGTACATTAAAAACAAACAAAATAACCTCTATAAGGATGAAAACCAGTTGATGCTGGAAAACAACATATTTTGCTTTATAGAATAGTGTTCTTGGTCAAGAAAACAAGTAATCAACTAGAAATCATCTTACTGGTTTCAGCATGCATCATAGCGATGGAAAATCATGAGTGTCTTCAAAGATAGTATGTTTTTACTTCCTCTTTTTTTAGGGAGGTTTTTTTCTTTTTTAGGGGACAGAGGCAGGTGGCTGTAATAGCTAGTAGTCAATACAAATTATACCATCACACATATTTATTCAGTCAATAAACATTTTTCTCTAAGTTCTGATATTCTCTCTTATTTGGCTAGTGCTTTTAATGCTTATAGTCATTTTCCTTACTCTCAGCCCACAGTTTGCTTTTCTTAAAAATTAGTACTCAATTTCATTTTAGTTCTGTTTGAATATATGTGTGAGGAGGGGCATTTTTCCATTTCAGATATGCCTTTAACTCTTGTTCTTTTCCTGAGGATCATGAACTTTTAAAGGAAGAAGAAAAATGTTCCAACTTACCATATAAATATAGATTTGACATGTGCAAATAAATCAGTCATTTTCATTTTATTATTTGTACATGAATATTTTCTTAAAATTATATAAAAAACGGATCTCTTTGTTTTGAAGTAGTTTTATTTAGTTAGTTTAAAAAGAGATGTTAACATCTTTGAAATTCTGTACTGAAACATTTTTGAAACTAGTATCACAGATGTTTTGAAAATCCAGAATATTCGATGCAGTGGTTTTTTTTTGTTTTGTTTTGTTTTTTTGTATGTTTTTGTAGAGACAGAGTTTCACCAAGTTGCCTAGGCTGGTCTCAAGCTCCTGGGCTCAGGCAATCCACCCACCTTTGCCTCCCAAAGTGCTAGGATTACAGGCATCAGCCACTGTGCTTGGTTCTCTTTGTTCCTTCTACTCCATAATCATCCATGAACATGTTTAAGCAGAGACTGGGCAACCAAATTATAATCAATATTTTAGAGTTGATGTTTATCTAGAGTGAAGGCTAGACTTTATGCAATCTGTGGGTTCTCTTTGTTTCCTTTATCTTTCTCTTTTTTTTTTCAGTACCCCAAATTTATTCAAGTAATTTTTCCTTTAAATCTTAATTGCCATTTGGTACTACTAGTGGGGATTAAATAAATGCTAAATTACCAGTAATATGAAAATTATTCAGATATTCCTTTCCTACCTCACACATATTAATTGCTTGTTTTGCCATTTTTTGCAGTGAAAAGGGAGATATTTTGTAGTTTATTATTTTTAATTAATTTTTCACTTTAGGTAGTGAATGCATACCATCTTCGTGTAAGAAGAAAAAATCCAGTGACTGGCAATTATGTGAAAATGAGCTTACAACTTTACCTGGTTGATAACAGGAGCTATCTTTTGGACTTTAAAAGCATTGATGGTAAGGAAGCTATGCATGCATGAGCTCTCAGAAGATAAAATTTGGCACTAGTTGACCAGATGTTAAAATCGTCTCGAAGACATCCGGTGGGTAGGTCCTGCACTGGTTTTTAAGTAATCTAGACTTAACCAAAATGTAAGTGAAGTGAAAAGGATGAAAGACATGTTGAATACCCCTTACCTGGAATCTTTCCACAAGAAGTATCTCCATGGCATAAAAGAATCATTTGAAGTATTGGCCGTGGAGCACAAGTAAGGAACAACAGGGAGGCAGGCTTTACCTTTTAAATTAACTGACTTGTCAGGGCTTCGTCACATTTCTCCATTCATATTTTATTAGTTCGTATTGTAATGTCTACACTTTCCCCTTCATCACCTTTCCTCATCCTGGGTGGCCAGGATGGCCAAATAGGTCTCTATTGGGATTTAGGTACCCATGGTAATCAAGGAGCCAAAGGCGTCAGGGAAAATTGTCACATCCAAGAACTTAGTGTGTGCCGAGGATTAAACCTGAGTAAACTAAATGTGACTATTCATTTCAGAGGCCCAAGTGGGATAAAACCAGAATAAACCAAGGGTCAGGTGATAGATGGAACAAGAATGGAACTGAGTTTAGAGTTAGGGAAGCTGTTTTAAACAAAGCATTTAAATTTTACTCTTGAGCTACCATCAACTATGTATGGTAGTGTTTATATGGATCCCAGACCCCTTCCATTGAAATTACATGTTGTTATTATTAAATTGCAAATTCTTGGGAACCACTCCAGACCTATTACATCAGAGTTTCTGGAGACTGGTCCTGGGAATCGTTGAATCTGCAATTTTAAAAAGATTTCTCTCACTTTGCACCCTGTCTTCCCAAGGCAATGTATCATGGTAACTTTTATTTTTACCTTAATGATTTTTTTTTGTTGATATGCCAGAAGAAAATAAGTTGTCAAGAATACACTTTCTTCACATGCAGAGATATCAGTTTGATTCTAATATCAAATACTCCAATTTAAGAAGGACGTAGGGACCACATTTTGACTGTGTGCAAGTGTTGTGATTGGTAGTGATGTTTGTTAAGACTGTTGGAAAGAAGAGGACTGTGCTCCTAAAACAGTGAAACATGACATTCAGTATTAAGTTGCCCTCACTCAGATGTGTTTACTTAATATTCTGGATATCATAATTTCATAGGAAGGGTTTGGGCATATATGCTTTTAATATAAATTGCTCTTCTTTGGCCTATTTCAGATGAAGTAGTGGAGCAGAGGTCTGGCTCCTCAACACCTCAGCGTTCCTGTTCTGCTGCTGGCTTACACAGACCAAGATCAAGTTTTGATTCCACAACTGCAGAGAGCCATTCACTGTCTGGCTCTCTCACTGGCTCTTTGACTGGAAGCACATTGTCTTCAGTTTCACCTCGCCTGGGCAGTCACACCATGGATTTTTTTGAAATGTGTGCCAGTCTGATCACTACTTTAGCCCGCTGATGATCTGTCTCTAGTTTCTTTCTGTTATAGCTCTATGAAAATCAGATATATTCTTTAAATTTTTTGTATTGCTTTTGGGTAACATCTGCTGCAATACTAATTGAGAGACATGAATTATCTCCAGGGGACACACAATGCTATTGAAATTACTGAAAACAAAATATCTGACATCTTATTTACTTGTAGAAATCTGTAATTTTATTGTGCCTATGATAAATTCACATAGGCAGTATCTTTAATAGGTTAATATCGATGAGGATTTTAAATTTACAATTAAGAGTTCATTACAGATGATTAACACACCACACTGGTGAACCATCTCAATGTAAAGGTGGTTTGGCAACACCTCCTTGCTTTACTGTTTAGTGTAGGTAAATCTAGTTTACTTCCTAAATTTCAGTAGGCTTTCTGCTGTGTTTATGCCCCCAATTTTTTTTTTAACAAAAAACGATTAAAAAGTAAAAGAACCACTAGTAAGATATTATTTAAATGTTGAAATCTTAAAAACCTGCCCTCAAGATTTCAGAAGCCAACTCTGACAGTATTTTTACAAATACTGCCTAGTATATTCAACAGGAAGACGGGGGTCATGTAACAGGTAAACACAATTTTCAGATTCCTTAAAAACAGCTGTAACTAACTCAGGGTTTTAGTTTGCGATTTCCCTGAATAATATGCTTAAGAGCCTTCAAGTTTCAAATTAGTATTGGAACATCTGGAATTGCAACAATTTTTGTCTTTTACATAAACTTACGTCATTTAAAAAATGCCTTCAAAACTTACCTTTCGCAAATTCTTTATGGCTCTGTTGATTTTTGCATTTCACCAACAGTGATAAAATAGTTAAAGTATCAACAGTCCTTTAAATGAGAATTCTCTTTGATCTTTACTTTGTGTGTCAAGTTTTAGGGTCCTGGTGCATCTCACAATGCTGATTCTTCATTGGAAGCCACTCCCTTCACTCCACCTATCCTAGTCACTACTGTCTTTGTTTATTGTGTGATCCTCAGTGGTTGAATGATACAGCTTTTGAATTTTTTTCTAGTTTCAAGTTTGAAAACACTGTTCTGGACCTAAGGGCTTTTGTACACTTTCAAAGCTTGATAGGCTATGACCTTTACTGTTGAACCTGATGGGGCAGGGAAGCTTTGAACATCAAGAAAAAAATTCTCTCTAAAATAAGTAAATATATATATATACACACACGTATTCACACACCAGTGCTTTTAAGCAAAAACCAAACAGTTTTTCTTTTTGCTTTGTGCATATTTTTTTCATATTTAAAAAACACAAGCTATATATAGTAGGGTAGATAATAGTTTATTGATTATGTTTTGTTTTAAAATATTTTTAAATTATGTGTGATTTATCTAATTTGTATTTATTCATTTGTTATTTTAACCATCTTATTTACCTGAATTACCCTAAAAACATTAAGCTCTTGAAAACAGAAAAATGACATTACCTTGAAAGATTTCTCTTTGCCAAAAATAATGTATGTTCTACCAAGAGGCAAATGACAATATTAGACCTAGTTTCTTCTGTGTTAGTGAGACAGGCGTGTCTGTCTTTAAACATTCTTTGAATCAGGAATTTGCATTGTGTCACATCATATGACTTTGCAGATCTTTTAAAAACTGATGTTAAATAACTTATTAGTTCAACTTCTTAATATCAAAATAAGAGAATCATTCAGCAATTTGGGAAAGAGGGCAGATTGCAGTTTGAGATAGTTTAAGGTTTAATTATTGAAAGATTGCCATCTTGTGGCACCAAAGGGTAACTAAGTGATTATTTGTATAGGGAAAAGCAGTCCTGCTGTGTTAGTCTGATGTGCATTATAGATATGGGATAGTTTTGGGTTCTCCAAATGGGTACATACCTCTTTTGGGAAAAACAGGGCCACCTCATAATATTTGCCTGGTTATGAATGGAATTAACTTAGAAAAAATGAACTAATCAGCTTACTTAACCCTAATGACAAAATACACAAAAATTCTGAAGGCAGAAGGAATCTAATGGTGTTTTAGCTCCATTGGTCTAATAGATATTAAAAATTTGTTCATATCAAAATTACCTTATATGGATGATTGTCATGTTTTTTGAGAGTTAATTTATTTACCGTTTTCTAAATCTTGCCAGTATTTATGAACAGCTGTAGTTTGATATTTACTGAATTTTGGGAGAACTAATGGTCACAGCTTGGGTTCTTTTATGTGCATCTTTTTAAAACAGCTATTTCATGAATCTAGGTGGTTGGTTTTTAAAGAATATTTCAGGAGACATAGTCCAGCACAATAAGAGGTAGAACATTGTTACGGCAGCCTTTTTGTTGTTTGTGGGCAGATATAGGGAAAGAATCAGTTGTTAACCCAAAATTTCCACATTTCAGTCTTTTAAACTATGGATGCGGTAAGTAGATGTGGGCTAAGAATAATTTACTCTAGTTAAGACTCTGGAGGAGAGCTTCTATTATTAGGTTACAGATAAGGCTTTGGTTATATCATGGAAATGGACTCCATGTGCTTCGAGAACTGCATTTCCCAAAGTATATCCTGTGAGATGCTCCACAGAAAAAATGATTGCATGGACTAAGTTTGAAAAATGTTGCATGCAATTTTCCCATCAAAGGTGACAATGGATTTAAGCATTAAAGACTTTGACAGGTCTTTCTGTGAAAAAAAGAAAACGATATAAGTTTATTGAAGTTTGCTTTGTCAAATTTTTCATTTTAAAAAACTTAATATCCAATGCATTTTTAGGAAAGTATTGTCCCAGAATGCCATAATTAGGGTAGTTAATAATTAAGTTAGCACTTCCTTTTATCAGTTGTTGGGAAGAATCTGATTGAAAATTAGAGTCATTTTGTTTTAACTTGCAGACATGTTCATCATGAGTGAATGCTGGACTAAATAGAATTTTTATGTCTCCAACTTGTTGCATGACATCTTGGTTTTCTTAATCAGCTTGTGTTATTTTTTGAGTGCAACATTATTCTAATGGATGGGTGACTGAAAAGCCTGTAACAAGATTACTTGTTAAAAAAGTCTGAGAGACTAGTGACCCATGCTTATTGGCTCTGTGGATGATAAATTCTGATTCTTACTTTTAAAAGAAGTCACTTATTCTTACTTTTAAAAAGTCACTGATTCTTTTAAAATGTGTAGTCAGTGAACATTTTCTAAATACTTTATGATACCGTATGAAGATCTAATTCCTGTTATGTTTCAATGTAGGAATAGGTAGATACCTTCTCAGACTGAACATGCAGAGAGGGAAGTGGGCAAACCATTTGCAAGTTGGGTTTTTGTTTTGATTAACAAACCTTTTAAGAGACACTTTTGTAATCTCTAGTGTTTACATTCCTTGATACTAGATATCTGTAAAGAGAATCCGGGAGCCTAAATTAATCAAATAATTGTATTTCTATGTCAGGGTATTGGCTATATGTAGCACAAACAATTCTCCATTTTCTGCAAATGCGTTTTTCAGGACAGCTTTATAATTCTGGGTTTGCTTTTTTTTATTCCCTAGCCAGTTTGTACTCAGGGAATACAAATTGATTTTTACTGTTAAATGAGACATAGTTTAGAAAATAATCATAAACAGCTATTATAGATTTTTGCTCTATTTGGATTTATCTGTACCATCTAATAATGTGCAGTGTACTGAGTTAATGTAGGCACTTCACCTTCCATTTATAAAATGTAAACACCTGGAACATGCCTGCCACAGATACCACTTTGTCTGTTCACTGGTTAATAATTTACATCCCATTAATGGTTGTAAAATCTCAGTATCTAATTGCTAGATACGTTCACAATTTTGTCTGTTTTTGTTTGTTTTTAAAGACCCAAATATTTTCAATCCGGCATTTATGTACTTGGTTCTCCTGTGTCACCCTATAGCTTTTTAAATAGAGAATGTAATTTATTTTAATAGTAGTTCTCGAAGACTCTATTAAAAACTCTGGATGAGGGATACGTGCAATCTGTTGGTAAGACACATCCTATGTTTGGCCCCATTTTTATAACTCCTAAAATGGGAGAGGTAGATTTTAACACTTCTAAGGTACTTTTGAGCTTTAAAGTTATTTTCTGCTTTTTCATATGATTGTGTTAGTGTTCACTTTTTATATATTTAGAGTTTTTATACTAGTGTGAATGTTTGTTTTGATTTGGTAAGGCATATCAAAGGTATATATACTTGAATATTTTTCTAAATACAGCTGCCAGAGGAATGCAAATGGCAAAAAATCATCCAGAAAACCAAACGTGGTGAAACACCATGTCCATTTGGCATGAAGCAAAGCATTACAAATTTGGAGTGATGAAAGTGTTACATATATTTTTGATAATGATTTTTCGATCTAGAGACCCTCCATATTGTTTAATATTATAATAAGTTTGTGAGGTAACCAGAAAAAGCATATTTGCCATTTCCAGATGAGGAAGCAGGACCAGAAAGCTGTTCATAGAGCTTTAACGCCATGCAGGCATTCAGCAGTGATCAATTGCTCTTTATAGGAAACCACCTTTCCTCTGGGGAAGAACCGTCTGAATTAATAAAACATCAGAGTGGTTGAGTAATAAAAATAAACACAGATGTATTGCTTTCAAGTCTTAGAGTGGCATAAAGTAGTCTTAAATAAATAGTTTTTAGTTTAATTATTTGAACCAGTTGACTGTACTAACGAGATGTAATTATCTGAAGTATTTGTTAGCATATTGGTTTTTATAAATATTTCTAAGTTATTGAGGGTGCTTAAAATACTGAAGAAACTTTAAGACATGATTCTTCTTATAATTTTATGTGATTCTCATAGCACAATCATTTTTAAGAAAGGAATACTAGGCCAGGTGTAGTGGCTCATGCCTATAATCCCAGCACTTTGGGATCCTCAGGTGGATAACCTGAGTCAGGAGTTCGAGACCAGCCTGGCCAACATGGTGAAACCTCATTTCTACTAAAAATACAAAAATTAGCCAGTGTGATGGCAGGCCATTTATAATCCCAGCTACTTGAGGCTGAGGCACAGGAATCTCTTGAACCTGGGAGGCAGAGGTTGCAATAACAAAGATGGCGCCACTGCATGCCCGCGTGGGCGACAGCACAAGACTTTGTCTGAAAAAAAAAAAAATCTAGTCCTAGTCCCTGACCTAAATTGTTATAGTTTTTGACTAGTATCTGAATTCGGTTTATCTAAATTTCATATGCAGATTGATAATTTTTCATTTTGTATTTATAGTAGATGATATATTTTCATAGAGAATAGTTCTAATTTACAAACACCTAATAATTATTAGCTTGATAGTTTCTCCCAAACCTTATAAAACTTTGAAATGTACTTATGTTTGAGCTTTAAAAATTATAAAAACTTCATTTAAGCAAGTTGCTGGCATCCTTACTAGCCTTTCCACATATAATTGTGATGCATTTGATGTCACTGAACAGTAATAGCATGAAGAACAGGTCTCACAGTCTAGACTGGATTGAGTTTTAATTAAACTTCTTCAGCCATAGCCTGATAAGAATCAGGCTGGGTCTAGAAGAGTTATCAGACTGTAGGCCTGTGTTAATTTTGCAAGCTAATGTTAATGTTTACTGCCAGTGTTGCATAGCAATGCCAGTTTCCAGTTGTGACTGTGTATGTGACTTTTGGTAAAAATGGTTTATATCTAAAGTAGTTTAGATTTTATGGAAGTAGCTCATGATTGTTTGGACAAGCAGGGTAGGTAAATTGCATTTACATTTAAAGTGTAATTAAATCCTAGAGTAGCGCACTCTCCGGAAAAATAAGAGAGTTTTGAATTTGGAGAATATCAGGCATGAAAACTTTTTTGAGTAATACATAGAATTTTGACAAGGTTCTTACAGTGCATACAGTGTAACCTTTTTTGAGGCAGGCGGGTGGGGGTGGTTGCTACTTAGTGTTGATTTAAAATTTCAAGGAGGAACAAAAATATTCTAGCCAAGGAGAATTGCATTGTTATTTTTTTTTCTAATTTAAACGTGCATTTTTCAGTTACACATTTTTTTAAATAAGTTTTGCTACCAAAAATGACCATTTTTCTAGACAGATAACATTTTCCTAAAGTGGAAAAGAAATAGATTCACTGTTCTAACAAAAACAAAACCAAACACTAAATTGTGCCTTCTCCCTTAAATTATAGGAAGAGTAAGAAAATCTTGTTCAAACTATATTTTATTTTTTTTAATCCCTCTCAGTTCTCCGTAGATCTGCTTCCTACAAATGATCATGTTTGTCTCTGTCTGATTGAGTTCCCTTGGCCAAACTTCACACTACCGCTATCGGAAGTTGTTCGCTAAATGTATTTTTCTACTTTTTTTATGTTGATTGACTTTATAAGTCACCTTGGACATTTGGCTGCCTTCTCATGCTTTAAAAATTAATGCAATGAATAGCAGTTTTTACATTTTAACCCTTTTAAAAGTTTGTCAAGGAAACAACTCAGAGCCGAGAACAAAATCTAACTTGGAACCTGTTTCTTCCTTTGGCTGTTGAAGCAGCAGCAAATCACATAACCTCATTTAGTTTTTCCATTTAAAAATATAGATAATAACCTACCTCACAGATGTGTGTGAGAAACTGAAAGCCCTTGTTTAAATACAGGGTTTATATCCCCACATTCAATGTAAATTCCTTTTTTAAAGAAAAAAGTATCTTTGATACTGATAGGATGAGTATCTTAATTTTTAGGTGAGATCACAGCTTCACAAATTGTGGTGTTCATAAGTTACATTTAATATTTCTTGAAACCTCAAATATTCAAATATCAAACTTGTCCTTTGTTGTAACAATTATTCAGAATCTCTTCAAGTGTTGGCTGAAGTTGCCTTAATGTACTAAAATATAGCTCTCAAGACTGTTCACAATTATCTGTGGTTATACAATGTTTTGAACATTTAATGTAAAGTTGTTATAGAACTGTGAACTCTAAGGATAGTATCTTTATTGTTTTAGGAAGAATGGTTGTATTCTTTGTCATATATGCTTAAATATACAGTGGATTTTGAGTGCAACAAATAAAACTGAAAGTTAACAGCCACTAGGTTGTGTCATTGACAATCATAATATAGGATGTAATATCTTCCTTTTTTCAAAAACATCCTGCATTAATTCATTCTTAGCCTACCTTTGAAAAAAAATCCATTGACCCATTGGAGTACTTCGTTACATATTTATTGAAAAAAAATTTTAATTGTTAAAATTGGGACCACTTTTTATAATTGGTTTCAGGGGAAAAAAATAGACTTTCAGTGCTAGTGTGTTCAAATAACTCAGATTCAAGTTTCAGTTTTGTTTGTTACATACTTTTTGTGAGTGTTATATGATGTGGGAAGGATTTGTCTTCTAGTAACCAAATGGAAAAGATGTCTTCCTGAATTACACAGCACTTCATAGTTACAGATTCTCCCTAATTAATGTTTGCACTGTATGAAACTCATAGGTAACACAGAAAAGCAGCCTGAGTGCTTATAAGCTTTTTTCACAAAATCGAATTAAAGTTTCTGGTTAATTTGAAAGCTACTTTTGTTTCTGCTCCGTCATTACACTGATATTCTGCACACCAACTAATAGTTACAAGAAAGTTGTTAGTGGAAAAGATTGCCTATGACTCATTGGTGATTACACACCACCTTTGTTCGTTTTTGTCATCTTAATTGTACATTATAGCTTTAATTGAGCTATTGCATAGGTTTTGTTGCTGTAACAAATTACTACAAAAACCAAAATACAAATTATCTTATTGTTCTATAAGTTAGAAATCCAGCGGGCTCAGCTGGTTTTTTTGCCTCAGGTCACGCAGGCTGAAAACCAAGGTATCAATAGGGCTGGGTTCGGGAGGAGAATCTGTTTCCAGGTGCACTGTTGCTGGCAGAATTTCATTCCATGCTGCTGTAGGATTAAGGTCCTTGTTGCCTTTTTGGTTGTTGGTTAGGAGTCATTTAAAGCCTCTAGAGGCCATCATTATTCCTTGGCCCATGCCTCCTTTCATCTTCAAAACCAGCAACAAGGGGCTTATGCTTTGGATCTCTCCTTACTTCTCTTCAACTACATGTTTCTGACATGTTGAGACTGACTTTACCGCCTTCCTTTTCAAATTTTAAGGGCTCATGTGATTAAACTGGGCCCACCTGGATTATGTGCTTTTTGAAAAACATACTCTACTCTCATGAAAAGGAAAAATGCAAGCATATTAAAATCAGGATACACAGGTAAAGATTTCAATTCGCTTTTTCTAAACTTTAAGGAAAAAAGAATGGATTTGTTTTTATTAGTGAAAATATTTTCTATTTCCTAAATTGCATAGGTAATAGATGCTTCCTATAAGAAATTTGAAAAGTGAAGGAAATGGGAAGAATATGAGAAAAATGTCACCCATAATAAGAGGTAGCCACTTCTTAGTTTCGTTATTATATGTTCATATTTTTCCTCTTCCATTTCTTCCCCCCTAGAATATACCTTTTAAAAGTTTTGAAGATTTGCAGGAGAGGGCCTGGTCAAGAAGGTTGCTATGCTATTTTGGAAGAAGAGTCAGTATATCACAGAGGAACTCAGAAGTGGGAAGGGAAGTCTTGGGACATCTTAAGGTTACTAGAGGGCCTGGCCAATATATAAATGAGTTTATGGGTAGACCAGTGTTAGCCTCTGTTACAGTATTTTATTATGCTGTCTTTTTTCTGATGATCCCATTATGTTTACTATGTTTTTATACAAAATTGAAAATAAAATATAAACTTAGTCTTTCCATTGAATCTTTACACTCAGCTAGGGTTTCTAGGAGACAGATGACATCTGCTTAGAATATCACTGAAGTCTTAGTTATGGTGTTTACATTCTTGCAAATTAATAATGTGAGAAGTATCGTTTTGATGCTTTGATTCAAAGAATGGAGGAAATGTGGCTGATATTGGTGAAATAGAAACATAATTGCAGTAAGTATGAATGAAAAGGATAGAAAAACAATCATTTTTTTCTAAAAACCTATACCATATCAAATAATAAGTACTAGTTTATATTACACCAAATAGTTTATACTTAAAAATAGTGTATACTATTTAATAGGCTTTTAACACTGAACATTTTTCTGTCTACACACACAAAAATTACATACCAGTCATTCTTTTAAGACTTATGATTTGAAGTTTAAAAATGCATTTTTGTTTTCAGCATCTTTCAACTTCAGTAAAAGCCAGGTACACAAATGACACCACTTACACGGTAGTGTGTATTAAGGATTTTAGACTACTTTTATATTATTATAGCATAACAACTACCCTGTGAAGTAGACAAGATGAGAGTTATTAGTCCTGTTTTATTTTTTATTTATTTATTTATTTTTAGGTGGAGTCTCACTCTGTCCCATAGTCTGGAGTGCAGTAGCATGATCTCAGCTCACTGCAACTTCCATTTCCCAGGTTCAAGTGATTCTCCTCTCTCAGCCTCCTGAGGAGCTGGAATTACAGGCATGCATCAGCACTCCTGGCTAATTTTTGTGTTTTTAATAGACACAGGGTTTCACCATATCAGCCAAGCTGGTCTTGAACTCCTGACCTCAAGTCATCCGCCTGCCGCAGCCTTCCAAAGTGCTGGGATTACAGGCATGAGTGTGACTGTGCCCAGCCTAGCCCTATTCTAATAATGAGGAAATTGAGATGCAAAGAGCTGAATCAAATTAGAATAAGGGGCCATGTAATGAGGTGGAAAGTGCAGGGGACAAACCTATCTGAGTTCAAATTTAGTCTCATTGTTACACCAAGATTTAAAATGCATCATGGCTTGGTGAAGTGGCAAGAGCGATATGTGGTATGTGATTCTCTATTGGACAGGATTATTGCATGGAAGATATCTGCTCAACATAGTCCTTTACTCTTCTTGCCTTGTCTTTTACAATGCCTACTCTTAACAGTTATTGTCCTGGAGAGCAGGAGAGGGCTGCAATGGTCTCTTACTGGGTGGTAAATTTAGCTCAGGGATCCAAACATCGAGTTTGGTCTCTGGTCCAAGCAGAAATATATTTCCAAAATTTGGTACCAGGCTTAATTTCGTCTCTCAGAAAAGAAGTCTCAAAGCCATTCCCTAATTCTCCTCTCTAACCGCTACATCTAATTAGTCACTAAGACATTCTGTTTTACCTATGTAATACCTCTAATGGGGGGCATCTGTACCATATATTTCTGTTGCTGCTGTCTTAAGGTGTAATGCCATTTTGCCTAAAATATGGCAAAAACAATCTCTCCTCTATTATCCATATGGCCGATTGCTTTGCATCTCCCAAATATCTGGCATTTTCTTCCCATCCTCCAAATATCTGCCATTTTCTTACTGCGTAACCCTTAAATGGCTCCTTACTCTCTACAGGAAAAAGTACAAGTGAAGTCTGTCACATTCTAGCCCCACCTTACCTTATTCCAAACAGCTCTTGCCATTTTCCACCAGCCATCTTACAATCCATTTACTTTGAATTTTTTCATAATCACCCGACAGAGCATGGGCCTTTCATCTCTGTGCCTTGTCTAATAAATAAACATGTTTGAAGACCAAGCTTCAGTTTACCTTCTCCGTAAAATATTTTTTAATCCTTTAGCTGTTCCATTCATATCTTAATTATGTTATTTGTAATAATCTCTATGTGTTTCCTTCTCTAAACTCTGAACTTTTTGAATACCTTTTATTCTTGTCTTTTAGAATAAGCCTGGCCTTTACTGGCAAATGTCATTTGGAACATGAACAAAAGAAAAAAGAACGTAGAAGCTTTAAAAAATGGCCTCGATATAAAGAACAAGGCCATGGAAACATTCCATCATGCTTGTGAAGGCCAGAATCATTCTGCTTAAAGAACTGAGTGAAATTCTTCAGTTTTTCAGTGCCGAAAAAGCCACTTAAACATTTGAAATGATTAAATGTGTATGTAGAATTTATTTCTTATTGACATGCAGTTTAGCTCTTTAAAAAAAACAAACAAACATTACAGTTCAGCTTTTAAATTTTTATTTAATTCCATATAAATGAAAGTACATAAGAATGCTATTATTTGAACAGGTATTTGGGCATAGACAAAATAATGCCAATTGTTCTTATTTTGGACACAAAGATGTTTTAAAGTAATATAGCATATATATTATTTTGTTAAGTACGTTTGGGCCCTTCTTAAAATGATGGGTAAGTTTAGGAATAAATTATTCTTCAGCAGACTATTCCCAAAAGAAACCAATGTGGAACCGTATTCATGTAAGTTAATTTTTGTGATAAAGTAAAAGGACAGGTATACCTTGATTTTTTTTTTAAAGACTGAGCCATAATTACTTTAAGATTATACCTTAAACTTGACTATTTAAAAGCACTTGGTTACGCTATTTACTGTTCAGAATTAAATTATTCCAAATTTGAATGCACAACATCTAGAAATTGCAAACGCTCATGTACTAATATTAGAAGCAAACTAACCATCTGCACAACTGACTAGGTGCCATAAGGCATGATTTCTAACTTTGGCTGTGGCTCATTAAATAAGTGCTCAAATGCTAACACATACTGTTTCACATTCTCTTGAACTGGCAGTGAAGTAGATACTGAAATAGACATTGAAAGATAACCTTTTAGGAGTGAAACCAACATCTAAATGTTGAGGATTTGTTTTTATTTTTCTCTTTTGAGTTCTGAACGAAAGTTTCCACAGATTCCACCATCTCAAAATTTAGACATGTAAACTGAAACTGATGTAAGGCAGGACTAAGATCTTAGGACTAGTTCTCCCTTGTGCAGACCATAGCATTTGATCTTGATCTTTCTAAGGTGACCAACTTTGATGCCTGAGAAAAAAGAAAAATATGCAAACATTTTAAAATATGAAACAGTGAGTGAGAGATATCTAGGGAATTTCTGATCTAGTTTAACATGTTTGTGTTCCTTTAAAATGTTTATAAAGCTGTGCAGAGAAGTTAGATAGCATACTCAGGAGACACAATAATAAAATCTCTCCCAACGTAATCCTTATAGAATAGGGTACTGCATGTCTAATTTTTTAAACTTCCTGAATTTCAACAGATTCGGTAGTCTCTTCAAACAAATGTATACAACAGTGTGTTAAGAACTCATGATGTAAAGCATAAAATCAAACCACTTACTTGAAATCTAGATGTTCAATGAGCACATATCCATCTATAGAAACAAAAATCACTGTTAATTTGAAAGTTATAGGGAAAATGCTTTAAGGTTTTTTTAAAAACAGTGATTGAAATGTTATGAAAGATAAGCAAATAAACTTACATTTGCCTTTAGAATTACGACATATCACTAGATTTTGCTCAGTGGTATCAATGACTTCCAGTTCTTCTCCAGGGGTTATTGGCAAATCGAATATTCCATTTCTTGAATTACTTGAACAGGCCACTGCTGTGTTGATGACAATAATCTCTTTGTCATACTGGAATGAGAAATTACTGATCAGACCATTCTTGCATAGTTATGTTTTATAACAAAATTAATGGAGGATATAATATAGTAACCTCAAAATAAACTCAAGATACTATTGACTAGTTAAATAACACATACAGGAATAGAAAATAGGAAGGTGTGCAGTTAAAGGAAAGTCTTTTAAGAAAATAATAGTATAATGCTGCAATCCCACATTTGTTTAGTATGATTATATTTTCAAACTGTTTTCACAACCATTATTTTTTCTCTCAAATCTTCTGTTCAAATTATTTTTAGTTCTGGAGTACATGTGCAGGATGTGCAGGTTTGTTACATGGGTAAACGTGTGCCATATTGTTTACTGCATCTATCAACCCATCACCTAGGTATTAAGCCCAACATGCATTCGCCATCCTTTCTGATATTTCCCTCTGCCCACCTTATCCCCGGACAGGCCCCAGTGTGTATAGCCATTATTTCATTGGAATGAGCCCTGGTGGATGAGGTTGTAACATAAGTATGAATTAAGCACCATGGATGGTAGCTAACTGTTCCATTTACCTACAAACTCAGAAAAGAAGTTAAAAAATTTTACCTACAAACTCAAAAAAGAAGTTAAAAAAAAACAACAAAAATAATAAAACCTCTGTGTAGTGCCTTAGAGTTTATAATATTCTTATATACTTATCATTTCTAGAGGACATTCTTTCCATCCTTTTTCTCTGTGTGAGCTTATGTAAATATAGCTACAATACATGTTATTTTAAAGTAGTGGGAATTGGCTGTATCTAACTGGGGGCAATTCCCATTCTCCTTTTGTATTCATAGGCAGGCAGGCATTTTGATAAAAACTCTCAAGAAATTCAATTCCTGACCATGGGAATCTTTTCCTGAAAAATTAGCTGGCATCTACAGTACATCACCTTCTAATGAACTGAAATCTGTTGACCACAAATAAATAGTTCCAGAATATGCAGCTTAGATTATAGATACCAACTTCTCCAAATTAGGGTGACCAAATATCTCCCTTTGCCAAGGACATTGTCTTTTTATAACTAAGGTATCTATCTATAACTTTATGATTAAGAGTGCCTCCTTCCACTCTTAGAAGTATCCTGTGTTTGGATGATAAACTACAAGATCAACTTATACCAAATGAGATCAGATCTACAAGACGGATTTTTCTTTCACCTAACAAAGTAATCGCTTCCTTACTGGCTTTCTTACCCTTTCCAGGTCATTGCTCACTGTGAATTCACAGTGATTTCTTAAAATACAAATCTGATTAGGTCACCCTTCTATTTATAAGCTCTAAAAACTCCTTATTGCTTTCAGGATGATATCCACACTGCTTAGCTTGAGATTCAGGGTCCTTTGCATACTGTCATTCCCCATCTCTCTATCTTTGTCCCCTTTATTGAAGCTACATCAAGCTACATGACAATCCTTGAATACATGCTATTTACTTGAAATACTCCTTTCTTTTTTTTTTTTAATTGTACTTTAGGTTCTGGGGTACATGTGCAGATCATGCAGCATGCATAGGTACACACATGGCAATGTGGTTTGCTGCCTCCATCCCCCCATCACCTACATCTGGCGTTTCCATGTTATCCCTTCCCGACCTCCCCGCCCCTCGCCGCTGTCCCTCCCTTGACCCCTCCCAAACAGACCCCAATGTGTGATGCTTCCCTCCCTGTGTCCATGTGTTCTTTGTTAAACACCCACCTATGAGTGAGAACATGCAGTGTGTGATTTTCTGTTCTTGTGTCAGTTTGCTGAGAATTATAGTTTCCAGATTCATACATGTCCCAACAAAGGACACAAACTCATCATTTTTTAAGGCTGCATAGTATTCCATGGTGTATATGTGCCACATTCTCCTTGTCCAGTCTAATGTCGATGGGCATTTGGGTTGGTTCCAGGTCTTTGCTATTGTAAACAGTGCCGCTATGAACATACATGTGCATGTATCTTTATAATAGAATGATTTATAATACTTTGGGTATATACCCAGTAGTGGGATTGCTGGGTCGAATGGAATTTCTATTTCTAGGTCCTTGAGGAATCGCCACATTGTCTTCCACAACGGTTGAATTAGTTTACACTCCACCAACAATGTAAAAATGTTCCTATTTCTCCACATCCTCTCCAGCATCTGTTTTCTCCAGATTTTTTAATGATTGCCATTCTAACTGGCATGAGGTGGTATCTCAATGTGGTTTTGATTTGCATTTCTCTAACAATGACTGATGGTGAGCATTTTTTTGAATGTTTGTTAGCCTCATATATCCTTTTGAAAAGTGTTTGTTTGTATACTTCCCCCACTTTTGGATGGGTTTGTTCGTTTTTTCTTGTAAATCTGTTTTAGTTCTTTGTAGATTCTGGATATTAGCCCTTTGTCAGATGGGTAGATTGCAAAAAATTTTTGCCATTCTGTTGGTTGCCGGTTCACTCTAATGATTATTCCTTTTGCTGTACAGAAGCTCTGGAGTTTAATTAGGTCCCATTTGTCTATGTTGGCTTTTGTTGCCAGTGCTTTTGGTGTTTTAGTCATGAAGTCCTTGCCTACGCCTGTGTCCTGAATGGTTTTGCCTAGGTTTTATTCTAGGGTTTTTATGGCATTAGGTCTTATGTTTAAGTCTTTAATACATCTGGAGTTAATTTTAGTGTAAGGTGTCAGGAAGGGGTCCAGTTTCTGCTTTCTGCACAATGGCTAGCCAGTTTTCCCAACACCATTTATTAAAAAGGGAATCCTTTCCCCAGTTGCTTGTTTTTGTCAGGTTTGTCAAAGATCAGATGGTTGTAGCTGTGTGGTGTTGCCTCCAGGGCCTCTCTTCTGTTCCATTGATATATATCTCTATTTTGGTACCAATACCATGCTGTTTTGATTACTGTAGCCTTGTAATATAGTTTGAAATCAGGTACTGTGATGCCTCCAGCTTTGTTCTTTTTGCTTAGGATTGTCTTGGCTATCCAGGCTCTCTTTTGGTTCCATATGAAGTTTAAGGTGGTTTTCTCCAGTTCTGTGAAGGTCATTGGTAGCTTGATGGGGATAGCATTGAATCTGTAAATTACTTTGGACAATATGGCCATTTTCACGATATTGATTCTTCCTAACCATGACCATGGAATGTTTCTCCATCTGTTTGTGTCCTCTCTTATTTGAGTAATGGTTTGTAGTCCTCCTTGAAGAGGTCCTTTACATCCTTTGTTAGTTGTATTCCTAGGTATTTTATTCTCTTTGTAGCAATTGTGAGTGGAAGTTTGCTCATGATTTTGCTCTCTGTTAATCTGCTATTGGTGTATGGGAATGCCTGTGATTTCTGCACATTGATTTTGTATCCTGAGACTGCTGAAATTGTTTACCAGTTTAAGGAGATTTTGGGCTGAGATGATGATAGGGCCTTCTAAATATACAACCATATCATCTGCAGATAGAGACAATTGACTTCCTCTTTTCCTAATTGAATACCTTTTTTTTTCTTGCCTAATTGCTCTGACTAGAACTTCCAATACTATATTGAATAGCAGTGGTGAGAGAGGGCATCCTTGTCTAGTGCCAGATTTCAAAGGGAATGCTTCCAGGTTTTGCCCATTCAGTATGATATTGGCTGTTGGTTTGTCGTAAATAGCTTTTATTGTTTTGAGTTATGTTCCTTCAATACCTAGTTTATTGGGAGTTTTTAGCATAAAGCACTGTTGAATTTTGTCAAAGGTCTTCTCTGCATGTATTGAGATAATCATGTGGTTTTTGCCTTTGGTTCTATTTATGTGGTGGATATGTTTATAGACTTATGTATGTTATACCAGGCTTGCATCCCTGGAATGAAGTCTACTTGATCGTGATGGATAAGCTTTTTGATGTGCTGTGGCAATCGGTTTACCAATATTTTATTGAAGATTTTTGCATCTATGTTCATCATGGATATTGGCCTAAAGTTTTCTTTTTTGTTGTTGTTGAGTCTCTGCTGGGTTTTGGTATCAGGATGATGTTGGTCTCATAAAATGATTTGGGAAGGATTACTTCTTTTTGTATTATTTGGAATAGTTTCAGAAGGAATGGTACCAGCTCCTCTTTATACATCTGGTAGAATTCAGCTGTGAACCCGTCTGGACCTGGACTTTTTCTGGTTGGTAGGCTATTAATTGCTGCCTCAACTTCAGCCCTTGATATTGGTCTATTCAAGATTTCAACGTCTTCCTGGTTTAGGCTTGGGAGGGTGCAAGTGTCTAGGAATTTATCCATTTCTTCCAGGTTTACTGGTTTATGTGCATAGAGTTGTTTGTAGTAATCTCTGATTGTAGTCTATATTTCTGTGGAATCAATGGCGATATCCCCTTTATCGTTTTTTACTGCATCTATTTGATTCTTCTCCCTTTACTTTTTTATTAATCTGGCTAGCAGTCTATTTTGTTGATCTTTTCAAAAAACCAACTCCTGGATTTATTGGTTCTTTGAAGGGTTTTTTGTGTTTCTATCTCCTTCAGTTCTGCTCTGATCTTAGTTATTTCTTGTCTTCTACTACCTTTTGAGTTCTTCTGATATTGCTCCTCTAGCTCTTTCAATTTTGATGATATGGTGTTGTTTTTAGATCTTTCCTCGCTTCTTATGTGGGCATTTATTGCCATAAATCTCCCCCTAGACACTGCCTTAAATGTGTCCTGGAGATTCTGGTATGTTTTGTCTTTGTTCTCATTGGTTTCAAAGAACATCTTTATTTCTGCCTTCATTTCATTGCTTATCCTGTCGACATTCAGGAACCAGTTGTTCAGTTTCCATGAAGCTGTCTGGTTCTGAGTTAGTTTCTTAATTTTGAGTTCTAATTTCATTGCCCTGTGGTCTGAGAGACTGTTTGTTATGATTTCCATTCTTTTGCATTTGTTGAGGAGTGATTTACTTCCAATTATGTGGTCAATTTTAGAGTAGGTACGATGTGGTGCTGAGAAGAATGTATATTCTGTGGATTTGGGGTGAAGATTTCTGTACATGTCTATTAGGTCTGCTTGGTCCAGATCTGAGTTCAAGTCCTGGATATCCTTGTTAATTTTCTGTCTTATTGATCTGTCTAATATTGACAGTGGAGTGTTAAAGTCTCTCATTATTATTGTGTGGGAGTCTAAGTCTCTTTGTAGATCGTTAAGAACTTGCTTTATGTACCTGGGTGCTCCTGTATTGGGTGTGTATATATTTAGGATCGTTAGCTCTTCTTGTTGCATTGATCCTTTTACCATTATGTAATGCCCTTCTATGTCTCTTTTGATCTTTGTTCGTTTAAAGTCCGTTTTATTAGAGACTAGGCTTGCAACTCCTGCTTTTTTTTTTTTTTTTTTTTTTTTGCTCTCCATTTGCTTGATAAATCTTCCCCCATCCCTTTATTTTGAGCCTATGTGTGTCCTTGCATGTGAGATGGGTTTCCTGAATACAGCACACCGATAGGTCTTGACTTTTTATCCAATTTGCCAATCTGTGTCTTTTGATTGGGGCATTTAGCCCATTTACATTTAAGGTTAATATTGTTATGTGTGAATTTGATCCTGCCATTTTGATGCTAGCTGGATGTTTTGCCTGTTGGTTGATGCATTTTTTTTCACTGTGTCGATGGTCTTTACCATTTGGTACATTTTTGGAGTGGTTGGTACTGGTTGTTCCTTTCCTTCTTTAGTGCTTTTTCCAGGAGCTCTTGTAAGGCAGGCCTGGTGGTGATGAAATCTCTGAGTAATTGCTTGTTCGTAAAGGATTTTCTTTCTCCTATGCTTATGAAGCTTAGTTTGGCAGGATATGAAATTCTAGGTTGAAAGTTCTTTTCTTTAAGGATGTTGAATATTGGCCCCCACTCTCTTCTGGCTTGTATGGTTTCTGCAGAGAGATCCACTGTGAGTCTGATGGGCTTCCCTTTGGGGTAACCCGACCTTTCTCTCTGGCTGCCCTTTACATTTTTCCTTCATTTCAACCCTGCTGAATCTGACGATTATGTGCCTTGAGGTTGCTCTTCTTGAGGAATATCTTTGTGGTATTCTCTGTATTTCCTGGACTTGAATGGTAGCCTGGCTTGCTAGGTTGGGGAAGTTCTCCTGGATAATATCCTGAAGAGTGTTTTCCAGCTTGGATTCATTCTCTCCATCACAATCAAGCACACCTATCAAATGTAGATTAGGGCTTTTCACATAATCTTGTATTTCTTGGAGGCTTTGTTCATTTCTTTTCACTTTTTTCTCTGTTCTTGCCTTCTCATTTCATTGCATTGAATTGATCTTCAATCTCTGATATTCTGTCTTCTGCTTGGTCGATTCGGCTATTGAAACTTGTGTATGCTTTGTGAAGTTCTCATGCTGTGTTTTTCAGCTCCATCAAGTCGTCTATATTCTTCTCTAAGCTGTTTATTCTAGTTAGCATCTCATCTCACCTTTTTTCTAGGTTCTTAGTTTCTTTGCAGTGGGTTAGCACATGTTCTTTTAGCTCTGAGAAGTTTGTTATTACCCACCTTCTGAAGCCTGTTTCTGTCAATTCATCAGATTCATTCTCCATCCATCTTTGATCCCTAGCTGGTGAGGAGTTGTGATCCTTTGGAGGAGGAGAGGCGTTCTGGTTTTTGGTATTGTCATCCTTTTTGCATTGGTTTCTTCCCATCTGTGTGGCTTTATCTACCTGTGGTCTTTCTGGTTAGTGACTTTTGGATGGGGTTTCTGAGTGGACATCCTTTTTGTTGATGATGAAGTTATTTCTTTCTGCTTCTTAGTTTTCCTTCTAACAGGCCCCTCTGCTGTAGGACTGCTGAGGTCCACTCCAGGCCCTGCTTGCCTGGGGATCGGCTGCAGTAGGTGCAGAACAGTAAGGGCTGCTGCCGGTTTTCTTCTGTTATCTTCATCCCAGAAGGGTACCTGCCAGATGTCGGCCTGAGCTCTCCTTTATGAGATATCTCTTTGGGTATATGGGGGTCAGGGTGATGCTTGAGGAGACAGTCTGTCCCTTATAGGAGCTCAAGTGCTGAGCTGTGGGCTCTGTTGTTCAATTCAGAGCTGCTGGGCAGGTACTTTTAAGTCTGCTGCAGTGGAACTCATAACCGCCTCTTTTCCCAGGTGCTCTGTCCTAGGAAGGTCGGCTTTATTTATGAGTTCCTGTCATGCTGCTGCCTTTTTTCATAGATGCCTTGCCCCACACAGAGTAGTCTAGTCGCAGTCTGTCAGCAGAGGTGTTGCTGAGCTGCCGCAGGCTCTGCCCAGCTGCTGTGTGAACCGCCTCGGTAGTGGTGGTCGCCCTTCCTATTTTTGTATTTTTAGTAGAGATGGGGTTTCTACAAATAATTCCTATTTGAACCCAATCAACTTTGGTTCAAATAGGAATTATTCTATTTTAATGAACTAAATCAGGAATGTACCCAAATCTCTCATAATCACTATTAATGAACTAAAAAAGGAATGTACCCATATCTCTCATAATCACTGAAATCAGTGATTATGAGAGATATTAAAAAATATTTTATGCATGTTTACAAAACACTAGTCTTATAGTGCTCTACACATGGATATAAAGATGAATAAATAACCTTTGTTGTCTAGGAGCTCATAGTTTAATATGATGAACATGTAATTTCAATTATGTTAATGTGTGATAAGCTATAGGTAAACAGAAGAAGAGTAATTTATTTAATTAGAATGTTTAGTCACGCCTGTAATCTCAGCACTTTGGGAGGCCGAGGAGGGTGGATCATGAGGTCAAGAGATCAAGAACATCCTGGCCAACATGGTGAAACCCCATCTCTACTAAAAATACAAAAATTAGGTGGGTGTGGTGGCACGCGCCTGTAGTCCCAGCTGCTCAGGAGGTGGAGGCAGCAGAATTGCTTAAACCCGGGAGGTGGGGTTGCAGTGAGCTGAGGTGGTGCCACTGCACTCCAGCCTGGTGACACAGCAAGACTCCATCTCAAAAAAAAAAAAAGAAGGAGGTTTGGGCAAGTCTTCCTGGAGAAGAGAAGATGAGAAGATGCCTTGACTGGGGCTTGATAAATGAACAAGAGCTAGTCAGATGGAGAAAAGTGCAAAGGTGTACCAGATAGTTGGAATAGACCAAGGAAGCACTTAGAGGGATGAAATAGCAAGACAAAGATAGAGGAGGTTCATTCAAGGGACAGAACTCTGAGCAGTTTGTTGCTGAAGTAGAAGGTGCAAGACAAAGAGTGGCAAGAGATAAAACTAGGAAGATGGGCAAAGGTCAGGACATAAAGAGCTTTCTATGCCATGTTAAGAACTCTATCCTTCAACCATTTTGCAAGGCGGAATGTTTGAAAAATTTTAGGCAGCATAGTGATTTAGACAAATTTTATGAGCAGAATGCACATTTTGTCTATCTCAATCCAGTGTCTAGTACATGGAAGGTGCTCAAATATTTCGTAATTAATAATCCTCACTTTGACAATCTGTGAAATCAGGGAAGTTTGAGCTTTTAAAATAATGAAAAAATGTTCCATGGACTCTTAATAACAGAATAAGAAGGCAGAAGGCTTCAGATGCTGCATCATTCATTTGCTCATTTTATTTTTCATTTGCTTGTTTATTTAGGCATTCATTTACCAAACATTATTCGTATAGTTTTATGTCAGGCCCTGGGGAACAAATTTGAATGAGACAGGGTTTCTTCTTCAAAACAGACCCAAGAGATTAATTAGTTCAAGATTCACACATGCACACATACAAATGCTTTAATACAACTAATCAGTGTTATAAAAGATTTGTAAACTAGATATACAAAATATGCTGAAGGAGTAACTTAACCTGGACGAGGTAGGGAGGAGTGGGTGACATTTGAACAGAGCCTTCAAGAACAACTTAGGAGTTTTTTCAGGAAGAAGGAATAGCATGTATAGACATGACAATGTAGATATGCATCAGGAAAAAATAGAAATGAAATCCTGGCTTTTTTTTTTTTATCAAATATTATGTCTGTATCTCAGAGAGCCAAAGGCACAGCATACTTCCAGAATTTTTTTTTTAATGAAAGCTCCTAGCTATTAATATTGCTAATTTTTACCTTCAGAAGAGAACATACCTTAAATCTTTCTCTAAAGAGTTTTTCTTCTCTTTTCATTCTGTTCTTTTCTAAGTTTTGCCCCTTGGTTTTGAAGAAATTCCTAGGAGAGAAACTAGCAAGAAATGTGCAGGTAGGTAAAATGCACAATAATAAAACTCTAAGTTTCTGAGACTACAAAGTCACTTCATTTCAGGATAAATTTCAGGTATAATTTATGTATATAATTTTATATAAAATAATACATATACAAAATCATGCATCTGTATTTATATGTACACAGACAGGTATGTATGTTCATAATACAAACACACATATTTCCGTTAGACTAAATTGTCAAACTGATCAGCATAATACCAATTGCTTTTCTCTTTAATTAAAAAATATTTTTGATGGCAAGATAACTTGGAATAAAATCACATTGGTTAAACAAATGAAGGTAAACAAGAAACTTATCTGAATGAGACCTAGAGACATAACTTTTTTTTTTTAAAGGGAACATTTAACATTTATAAATGTTCCCATTCACCTTCAGATTATTTAATGGAAACCAGTAAGAATGAGTAAGCAGCTTGCTTTGTGTGGTTTTCTAAGTTGTTAAACCTAATTGGGGATCATAGGTCTACATGGCTCAATCAAAGCACTCTCCAGTTTGCTGAATGATTTGGATGATGAATACCATTAAGAAAATAAAGATGCCACAAAGCATGTGCAAAAATTTCAGCACATAAAAGTAAATAACCCTAGAGAAGTATCTGATTATTCTCTTACTCCTCTCTCTTGCTCTTCACGTGAGATTTGGTTTTTCTTTTTAGCAGTTTAATATATTAACAGAGGTAAAAAAGCCAACCAAGTCCTGTCAGTTTTATTCCAAAGTGTCTCCGACATTTATTTCCAAGATTATGGCCACTGCCATATTTCAGATTATCACTACTTACTGCCTGAGACACCATCTTCATCTTACCTCTCCTTCCTCAAATCCATTGGCATAACCGCCTGCAGAGTCATTTTTCTAAAAGTTATGCCCTCTATTGCTTAAAACCTTTTGATTTCTTTCTACTGCCAATAGGATAAAGTCCAAATTCATTAGCAATTTATTATCTGGGCTGATCTACCTTCCTAGCTTTATCAGCTGCTCTTTTCCCTGCACATATAATGTCTACTGGGATCATCTTAGAAAGTGAGCTATCCTTTTCATGCCGTTATACCTGGGATACTGCTATGGTTTGGAATTTAACTCCTCCAAACCTCACGTTGACATTTAATCCCCAGTGTTGGAGGAGGGGCCTAATGAGAGATATTTGGGTCATGGAGTTGTCTTCCTCCTGAACGGCTTGCTGCTGTCCTCAACTCTCATAGTTCCCTTGAGCCTGGCACCTCATTTGTTAAAATGAGCCTGGCACCTGTCTTGTCTCTCTTGCTTCCTTTCAAGCCATGTGATCCCTGCACATTCACCTTCACCTTTTGCCATGAATGGAAGCAGCCTGAGGCCTTTGCCAGAAGCAGATGCCAATGCCATGCTTCGTATACAGTCTCCAGAATCATGAGCTAAATAAGCCTCTTCTTTATAAATTATCCAGCCTCAGGTATTCCTTTATAGCAACATGAACAGACTAACACAGATACCCTTGGCCAAATTCTCTTTAAACTTGCCATCATCTTTGATTGATAAAAGACTAATAAAAGGGTTGAACTAATATAGAAAGCATTTCTTATTGGTAGAATACATTATGGTATAAATCACTTTAAAACGATCAAAGAGCATATAGAAATTGATACATCAATCTACAGAAATAACTAACCTTACTGTAATGTTTACAAATTTACTTGGTTCAGAATAAAAGTATACTGTTATATCACTGTGTTGTAAAAAAATAATAATAATAAAAAGGCACTGGAAAATCGTTTCCTAAGACAACTTATTTGTAGTTAATAATATACTAAAAAGCTTTTTTGGGGGAAGATAAAAAATATTACTAATAGTTGCCCTCTTGGAATTCTGCTTTGTTATGCTGTGCAAGTATGAAGTTTAAGACTGAAAGTTTAAGATGAACTATGAAGTTTAAGATAGAAAGTTGCTTTTCTAGTCTGTTAATACATCTTGCCAACCTGGAAAAAATAAATTACATCAAGTCTAAACCTAAAGAAAATAAACTTATGAGAAGGGCTACCCAATGCCATCCTCTGAGTCTCAGACGCTAATGTCTGGTTTCCTTTGCTGCACCCCAGTAGGATTTTTCTAACAGGTTTCCCAGAGCAGACAGACTACACAATGTTCACATCTCAGTGAATATTTAGACAAAGGTTTCCTCAAGTCATTTGTCAAAGAAAGTACCTCATATCCTGCCCCATGTCCTAGCAATTGAGAAGATGGGATCAGAGTGCAGTAAGTAACCACCTGCCTCAGTAAAAACATCCTCTCACAACCACTTGGGAACTTTAATCACATGAATGCAGGTTAGAAATGGACTCAGTAAGACATTTTCTTTTAAAATTCAAACACTAATTTTAGTCATAACTAGAATTGCATTTTACGGAAGTCAGTCTTACTATATAATACCTAGTTTCCTTTTTTCTCAAAGTTACATTTCAGTTCTAATTGGTGTTTTATTTACATTATGTCTTATGGGGGAAAGTTCTTATAACCTAAAATAAGACTGGGAATTTTTCATTGTTTGAAAATAGCTAACTTGAAATCTTTTCTTACTTCCTATCCACCAAAAATAGGGAGGAGGATGATGAAGATATATGTGTATGACAGTATTTGTATATCCTTAGTCCCTTCTAATCCTCTCAATTGCACTATGATGTAGGTGTTGTTATTCTCATTTTGTAGATGAAAAATCTGAGAATTATTTAATTACTTATCTAAGGCCACATAGCTAGTAATAGGTATAAATTGCAGCAGTTAAGCTATAACGTTAAGTGCCTCTGTGTTACCACCTTTCTGATTCTTCAGCACCGTTTTTCTCTTTTTCCTTTGGTATCAGAAACTTGGGCTTCCATGTTTTCAGTTTATCTTCATGTCTGAGGAGAAATATATATTTTGAGCAAGTAAATTAAGACTGAATTATGCATTTGTGGAACCATCAACACTTCATGGGCAATTATGTTTTACAAAAAATTAAGCCATCTAGAAATATATTTTGATAATCCTTGGAAAGGCCATATAGTAAATATTTTAGGCTTTGCAGGCCATATCATCTCTATGGCAACTCTTCAGCTCTTCTGTTGCAACTTCATACACAGAAACAAGTGGCAGGCCACATTTGGTCTTCAGGCCATAGTTTGCTGACCCCTGATGTCTGGTACTCCAAATTTGAAACAAGACGCAAGAGATTGGCCCGCTTATAATCACACTTCATCTCCTTTATGAGCCTCAGGTTTTTTGTTTTTGTTTTCGTTGTTTTTTTGCCTTTAAAATGTGAATAGTGCAACTGAACTCCACTGTGAAACAAGGCTAAGCCAACTAGCATGTAACAGTGATTCTGGGCAAACAGGATGCAGGGAAGGGAGAAGGTCTTTATTATAGAAATAATTAGTACTTTTTAGCATCTATGTGTCAGGTCTTATGCTAAGAGTCTTAACGTTTGTTAACTCATTTGGTTTTCAAAGTAAATATTGCAACAATCCTTTAAACTGATCACTAAGTTTTACAAGGAAAGAAATGATGGTCATAGTATGACCATTTTGGAAAACAAGTTGGCATTTTCTTATGAATCTGCATTCCCCATAATTTGCATTTTTCCCTTTTTAAGTATATCTTCTAGAAAAATTCTTGCACACATTAACAGAAACCATGAATAAGAATATTTGTGGCAGTATTATTTGCAAGGGCCCAAAAACTTAGGAACTACCACAATACTTACCAACAACTGAATGGATAAATGAATTGTGGTATATACATACAATGGAATATTATAGAACATTAAGATGAATGAAAGGAAAAATGAAATATTCTATTTGAATAAAATGCAAGGAAAAATGATTCTATTTGAATAAAAAAGTTACAGAACTCTATATACTATCTCATTTTCCTAATGTTCAAATCCCAAATGAAACAATATTTGTATCATACGTTTGTTAAAACCATCCTTGTTTTAAAGAAGGAAATGAAAACACCAAATTTATGAGAACAGTTACCTTGAGGAAAGGGATACATGATGTGTACAAGGGAAAGAGGCCAAGGTATTGTATTGCTTATACCTTGGCCTCTTTAACTGGTTATGTTCTAGTTCTTACGTTGAATGGTGGGTTCAGGGCAATTTGTTTTACCATGCTTTACTACTTTTATTGTGTCATTATTTACAACTTTTTGTTTTCTTTTGATTTTTACAAATGATTTTTTAAGAAAAAGAATTCATCCAGATTCAGTGGTTTGCACTTGCAGCTCCAGCTACTTGGGAGGCCGAGGTGAGAGGATTGCTTGAGGCCAGGAGGTCAAAGTGCAGTGTGCTGTGATCACACCTGTGAATAGCCACTGCATTTCAACCTGGACAACATAGCAAGACTCCCTCTCAAATGAAAGATAAAACGAATTTATTCTTTGCCTTAATTTGATATTTCAGGGTTCTCTTCCATCTTATGCCAAATTACATTTCCTGCTTGTAACATCACTTCCCTGATCATATATGCCTTTTGGTCCAACAAAACTTTCCAAACACATGTGTTTTCAATTTACAGTTGTCCACTCCTCCTCTTGCTTCTCCCTTTTCTCTCATCTTCTTTCGCTCTCGGTCTCCACCTGTCAAAATTTTACCTGTCTTTCCTGTTTCAGGTGGGCACAAAGATTTTTGATCACCTAAATAACAGTAATGTCTACCTATTCTGAGCTTCCAGATTACCTTGCACATTTTTAGAGCAGGTATTTGTTAATTAATTTATCAAATTATGTTTTGGTATTAAGCACATGGTACAAATATGAAAGCCACAGTCCGAGCCTCAAAGTGTTCCCAGTCTAGTAGATAAGAAAGTCAAGAAAACAGACCATTAACCATTCTGAGAAAAATGCCTTGATAAAAAAAGGAAGTACCAAACTTAAATTGATAAAGTCAGAGAGGGCTTCTTAGAAAAAAAGTAAAATCTGAATTCAGTTTTAAAAAAACGAGGGATAAAATAGCCAGGCCAAAAAATATGACTAAGTGTGTTACAAGTAGAACTATTCTTTTGTTCTTAAAGTATCACCTCCTTGAAGAGGCTTTCCCCAGCTATCAAAACTTTAATATACCTACCAGCACACACACTGTATTCACTCTCTTTCAAAAATATCCTGTTTCAAAGCAACCAAATTCCAATGTGTAATTATACAGTTATTTTTTATTTGTTTATTTATTGGTCTCTCTAGTCCCACGGGAATAGGAATTAAATCTCTTTTGTTCACTGCTTTATACCCAAAACCTAGCACAGTGCCGTGGCACAAAGGACCTGTTTAATAGATATTTGTTGAATGAATTGATGAAGTTGGAACAAATGTGAAGGCTTGGAAATGTTGGACAGTGTATCTGGTCTAAGGAACTCCAAGTATTACAGTATGGATGGAACACAGGAATAGTGGGTAAGCAGGAAGAACAGAGGAAGCTAAAGAGGTTGCCAGCGGCTGGATTATGAATAAATTTTATGTCTCCTAAGCAGTTTTGACTTCATTCTGAAAGTGATGGTTAACCACTACACAGCTTTAGCTGTTGGGTGGCAGGTGGTCACATTGTATTTAAGAAAGTTTAGAGAATAAACTGAAATGGAGGCAAGATGACCATTGAGTTGTAGTAAACTGGTTGAGAAACAGTAAGATTCTGAATTGTGGCTGTGCAGTGGGGATGGGAAAAGTAGGAACAGTTTGATTTATTGGAAGAGAGTGATGGGAAGGGAAGGGCACAAGAGGAGGAGGTGTTCCAGCCTGAGCAACTGTGTGTTTATTGAAAAAGTCACCAACATAGAGAGCAAAATAATGAAATTTGGGGCTCCATCTTCAGTGCACCCAACACTGAAGCTCCCAGATATATAAGGCAAATATTATTAGGTCAAAAGGGAGAGATACACCTCAATACAATAATAGTTGGGAGACTTCAGCATCCCACTCTAAGCACAGGACAGATTATCTAGAAAGAGAACCAACAAAGAAACATCCTATTTAAACTGCACCATAGACCAAATGGACCTAACAGACATCTACAGAACTTAATAGACATCTACAGAACATGTCACTCATGTTCTGTATAGTATACATTCTTTTCATTATTAATGGAATATTCTCCAGAACTGTCCATATGTTAGGGCACAAAACAAGTATCAACAAGTTTTTAAAAATCAAAATCATATTAAGTATTTTATCTGACCCCAGTGGATTAAAACTAAACATCAATAGCAAGGGAGACATTTAAAACGGTACAAATATATGAAATCGAACAACAAGCTTCTTAATAACCAATGGGTGAAGGAAGAAATTAAGGATGATACTTAAAAATTCTTTGAGACAAATGAAAATAGAAACACAACATGCCAAACTTATAGGACACAGCAAAAATAATATTAAGAGGCAAGTTATATAATAACTTGCAATAAATGCCTACATCAAAAACTACAAAGATTTCAAAAAACCTAATGATTTGTCCCAAAGAATTAGAAAAGGAAGAACAAACCAAATCCAAAGTTAGTAGAAGAAAAAAACTAATGAAAATCAGAGCAGTCATAAAATTTAGATAAAGTGCAAAAGATCAATGAAACAAAAAGTTGGTGTTTTGAAAAGAAACAAAATTGACAAACTAATACCTAGACTAGAGAGAGAGACAGGGTGAGGAGGAGAGGGGATGGGAGGGAGTAGGGGAGGGGGGGACAAGAGGGGAGGGGAAAAGGGAGGGGAGAGTGTAGAGGAAACTAGATGGGAGGTCAAGTTCAAGTAAATAAAGTTCGAAGTGAAAAAAGAGACATCACTTAGAGACTACTGTGAACAACTATATGCTAACAATTAAGAAAACCTAGAGGAAATAGCTAAATTCATGGAAATACACAATTTACTAAGATTGAACCAAGAAAAAATTAGAAAACTTGAAAAGGCCAATAACAAGTAATGAGGTTGAATCAGTAATAAAGAATCTCCCAAAAAAGAAAAGTCTGGGACTGGATGGCTTCCCTGATGAATTCTACTGAACCTTTAAATAAGAACAAACCAAATCCAAAGTTAGTAGAAGAAAAGAAGTAATGATCAGAGCAGTTTTCCTTTAAAAAAGAATTAATACCAAGTCTTCTCAAACTATTCCAAAACACTGAAGCAGAATGAACTCTTCCTAATTCTATGAGGCCAGCATAACCCTGATACCAAAAGCAGACAAGAATACAAAAAAGAAAAGAAAATTACAGGTCAATATCCCTGATGAACATAGACACAAAAATCCTCAACAAAATACTAGCAAACTCAATATGACAACACATCAAAAAGATAATACACTGTAATGTAGTATGATATATCCCAGAAATGCAAAAACATATTAGTGGGATAGATCCCCGAGTCCAGGAGGTTGAGGCTGCAGTGAATCATGATCATGCCACTGCTGCACTCCACCCTTAGTGACAGAGAAAGACCCTGTTACAAAAAAACAAAAGCACCTCACCCCCAGGGCATCCTTCCTACATACAACCAGGCTGTTCTCCCTCTGTAAGCTCACACACTGATCCCTGGGCTCACTTGGTGAGCGTATCCCCAGAGAGAGGGTAGGTGGCAGGAAAGAGCACCAGCCTGGGGGCAAGCCAGCCAGATCTCAGACTTACTTCTGTACTCAATAGCGTGGACAAGTTAGTAACTCTTAGCCTCAATGTTCTCATCTGAAACAATCTAAAATAATTTTTTAAATTAAAAAAATAGAGATGGAGCTCCACTATGTTGTCCAGGCTGGTCTCCAACTTCTGACCTCAAGTGATCTTTCCACTTCTGCCTCCCAAAGAGCTGGATTTACAGGCATGACCCACTGCACCTGGCCAATTGGGAACAATTCTAATCTATCATGGAGGGTTGCTGTGACAGAGAAGTATCAGGC